GATAGCTGCCCATGGAGGTTAGAGAGGAACAAACACCACAGGTCAACCAAGTGCTACATTCTGCCATTGCCACACAAATGTAACAGACTCATTAAACTCATCTAGTTCTCATTAATTCTTGGCTCAAAGTCCCAAGTTCCAAGTTTACTCTCTACCATCTAGTGAGCTCTGTGCATAAGAGCTCCCTCTGCTTCCGTCATTATAGATCATCCTACTATCCAAAGCACCTAATACTTCTACAATATAAAGTTAGCCCGTTAGCGCAATTCTATCCCTTGACCTACTCTGTATAGTTTCCAAATTACTTAGAATATTCGTTCTATATCGCGACTAGAACAAGGCCGAGTAATTCTAAGTATACATACAGAATGAAACGACCACCCTGGAAGAGGGGAGAATTAAGTAGAGGGGAAGAAAAATGTCTGAGCAAAGCTCATGCAAAATAAGCCACTGATCTGCATTGGTTTTTGATGTGCAACCCACATCTAAGTAGTCCTACTAGTAACATTACCAGTCCTTGATAAATTTAATGCTCGTAATTTTGTCCCAAAAGGGCTCTTTCTATAATCAAAGCATTTAATTCCATGGTATCGAGTAAATTTTTCTTTGAGGTATCCTATAACAAAGTTTCACTTGAGTCAAAAATACTTCCTATAAAACCATCTCATATGCTTCTTTCCATCGCTTCGCTTTCATTTTTAGATTAATGCTTAATGCTTTAATGAGTTTAAAATATCTGTGATAATGACTTCCCTGTTTTTATTCATACTCCAACACCAACTGCCACAAATTATACACTTTATTGAAACACTCAAAATAATTTTTAGATCACCAAAGTATTTTACTTAAGGAATTTTTTAAAGAATCTCAAGTGCACAGTATATTAACTATTTACATGTTTTAAATTATCTGAAGTGGTGGTATGTGGGAATCTAAAAAGTAAATATACACCCAGGGAGGGGTGTGTGTGTGTGTGTGTGTGTGTGTACATGTGTATAAAAATATGTATCTCCCCAGGGAATTCTGTATTAGTCAGTCTGTGTTGACATTCCTCCACCTCCTGATATTTTCAAATAGATCCAGCAGGTGATTCTGTTACACATTTCTTGGCTGAGAATCATAGACGGGGTGTATTTCAGATTGCTTTCAATATGTATGCCCCTACTGAAAGTACCCCCCCCCGCTCAAGAAAACAATCTGGGCCATTAATTTTGAATTCTAGTTCCAGAAAGTTTGGCTAAACCAAGGTATCTTGTTTTTAAATCTCCCATTAAAAAGTAGTCACCTTTTTTTCTTCAGAAGCGGAAAACAAAAATTTTAGTGCCTAAAACTTATAGTTTAAAAGATGTTTTATATAAAACCACAACATCCTCAATTAAGGAAACATTTCTAATTCTCTGCTACACTGCAGTATTTATGACTATTTACAAATATTTAGTTTTTAATTTTACCTATCTTAAAAATGAATATAAAGGTACTTGCTTCTCCTCTTCTACATTATGTAAAATATTTAAAGAGAAAAATGTTAATGTTTTCTTTCTCTGAAAGAGTTAAAAGCCCTTAAGACATTTTAATATAGCACCCGATAAAGTAATGATAATAAAGGCACATAAGGTATAACAAAATTATTTTTAATTGAATATTAAAATTTTTTTTCTTTAAAGTTGTGCCCATCTAAAATATATACAATGACAAAAAACATCATCAAAATGTTCTTTAAATGACTTAATAAGGGATTATATATATAAAATTCATAATGAATACCGTATTTCTTTGATTCTAAGACACTTTACATTTTGACATTTCTGAATTAGGATGGGTCTTATAATCATTGGCATGTCATGTTGGAAACATTTTTTATTCCTGAATGGTTCTCACAATCAATGGCACCTTAGATCTGATGAACTAAGGTGTTCGTTTATAAAAAAAAATACTTTTTCAAATTAAAAGAGGTAACTTTTTCTTTTCAAATGTAACAAAACTGACCCACCCCCAAAACAACCTTAAATGTGTAGCTCCATAACTATAATCTTTTATATGAGTGAAAATGGCCAATAAATTTAATGAAGCAACTAAATTATCAGGACAAAAGAAACTCTAATAATATAAGAGCTTAAATAATGAACAAATTTTATCATTTAAATATTATATGAAGTCATTTTCAGAGTTTAAAGTGGATAATTTTATACTATTCCGTTTTCCAATGCTAAGCATTTGCCCATCCTATGTATTTAAATAAATCTAGCATTCCACCTGTAATATGCTACAAATGATTGCTTTGCTGTAAAATAAATTTCTAGCTGCAACATAAATGATCAAAGTACATTATATTTATGCTATAAATAGAAGCCAATGTTTAATGAAATGTTTAAAGACAAAAAAAAATTTTAAAAAGTAGTATCTACTAAAACTGTAGTCTACAAATACCTCAGAGAGTCATATCATTCTCTAACATATCACAAATCAAAACATTATCGATTTGGTGGCTAAAGTAGATACTGCCTGCAGCACTTTGAACAATTTTATTAAAGTGGTTAGGTTACTCCTTGCGTATTTCTAATGGCTAGCATTCTAGTGACAGTACTGGGATCAAAAGCATCAAAACATGATAGGTCTTGCGTCGAACTTAACTAACTTCTCTCCATTGTTTAAAAAAATGGTGAACATAAGTATCAACTTTGGAAATTCAGTATGAGGATGAATAATATCCTTTCACTTAAATACTATACTACCAAATAAGAACAAAGTGAGAACAAGTACACACAATTATTTTCAACTATTTTCAGAGTGTCACACACTCCCAAGATGGAATTCTACAGTACTGACAACTGATTAGGTTAACTTTCACCACCAGAATCTTCAAAGCAGTGCAATACTTGTATATATTTTGTTTTCAAGTTTGCACATGAAGGCCCAACAGTGATTAAAAAAAAAAAAAAACTTGGGATCAAAAGTCACTAAAAAGTCTTACATTTTTATTGCTACTTAATCCAAGTGAATGTCACTTAATTTTAATAATGGTAAATGCAACTAAAGTAGTTTGAAATCCCAGTCAATATAAGTTCCTTAAGGACAAGGCTAATCATTCCTGAACATTAATACTTTGTACCAATGTCACAGTTTTTCCTGTTTTCCTAAGGAAAAGACTGAAACCAATTCAAATTACTGGACTGAATTACTGTAGAAATAAACACCCAATTTCCACTAGTACCCACTTCTTCACGTAACAAAACAAATAATGTACTATTTCTGTTCAGAACCTAGAAGAAGAAATGACTTGATTTTTTGGCCAGGAACCATCCATAAAGCTCTTATAGCTCTTCAGATCATCAAGAGGTAAGCAAAAACAATCCAATTTTAAATAGCTGGTGTGTTCTATCGTTACTTTGGGCAGGCTTGACAAACATAGCTTAAGAATTTTAGAGAAACAGAGCAAATGATGAATAGTTGGGAATGCACAGGGAGCAAAAATGTCTATTCATAGGACCAAATAAAAGCCTTCATTAGGAATGAAAAAAAAACAACCAATGGTTTTATATATATGTATATATATATGTAAAACCCAAAGGAAAAACAAACAGCAAATAAATGAAAATTAAAAGCAAAAATAAATAAATAAATAGAAAACTAATCCCCAATTTTTCTGCTACTCAGTTTACCTTGGAGGCTAATCTGAAGTGTTACCCACAGCCTACCAAACACATGGTGGATGCTTTGTTCCTGATATATATAATGTTTTTAGATCCACCAACACCTCTATACATTCTGTGCAATTAAGAAATCCACTTCAGGCAAGTGACAAGTACTTTAGTACTAGCACTATCTATGCAGAATAGCAAATATAATGTGAAACAAAGCAATGCAAGCATTCATGTGAATTTTGGCTCCATGCTAACTCTGGTTTCATGCCTAACTACATTAAAATAGAATTGCCAAACGGCCAATGCATTTCTTTACAATAGTTATTTTACCTTCATAAAAGCTAAGAAGAGTTTTGACTATAAGCATTGTCAACTAGCCAAATTTCTCTAATTTTCTATCCGATTTTGAAGAATATTTTATCTAAACTATCAGCTATTTTTCTCTGTATGTACATAAAGACAGACATACAGAGAAACAGAAAAATCTACATTATGACTTACACAATAAATATACACAGATATTACATACATACTAATGAGACTGCATGATTTTTATATCAAAGTACATGTTTTTCCACCACACAGTTCTTCATTGTTGTTAAGAGTAATAAAAAACTTCTGCAACTAATAAGCACATGCTGCTAATGATCCAGGGTTTTAAGAATTTGTAGATTAAAAAAATACAATTCCTAGAACACTGTTATCAAACAAGTAAGTTTTATTGGCATCTAAAAACAAAATTCACCCAACATTGAAACGTACTTTAATATTTATGTTGTTTTCTTTTTTTTCTTTTTTCTTTTTTACTCACTGCAGTATGAGGAACAAATCACAAACACTTACTTTGGAGAAACAGAGACCATAGTGTAGATTTTACAAAATCACTTTTTAAAATCTCTGTATTGTGCTCCTCAAATATCTAGAGCCAGTCTTTGCATAAAATATCACAGCTTTGTCTATTACCTTAAAATTCTGCAGCAGCCTAAAGATATGGATAAGATATACCATCACTTGCTATTTTGAAATATATCTATTACCATATCCAACCTAATGGTAGTATCTAAAAAATTCTTTCTTCCATAGGAAGTCTCTGACAAGCTGTTATTCATTTCCTTGAAGTTAAAAGAATCTGGGGGCAACATTTATATTTTATCAGAAAAATAAAAAAATGTTTACCTACCATGTTCATATTAAGAACAATGTCTATACAAGTCAGTTGTACAATTATTTTAAGAGAAAGGTGAACATGAACATCAGATTAACTTAATTCTGGCAGACAAAAGTGAACAACTATGGTCCAGTCAGCCATTAATCTATTACAGAGAGATGACAACTTTACAAAAGGTATCTTTTACCTACTGAGTGATGATTATGTCCCCTCAGTTTCTGTGCTTTCTACCACTGGTTCACTTTCTATATCAGCAACTGTGTCACTCTTCTCCTTGTTTATTTCACTTGAAGATGTCAGTTTTTCATAAAGTTCAGGATCATTCTGTACTGGTAAAGGTGGTGGTTGGGCATGTCTCTCGGTATTTTCACCATTAACCTGAGGCACGTTATCACCTTTTCGTTGAGAAGTGGCCCCTTCAAAAAAATCAAAAACCCGAGGATGAGGAGGGGGGACCCAGGTGTTTTGAATTCTATCTCGTCCAAGACGGTTTCCATTAATTTCTCTGCAGAAATCAAAATCTCTGTCATCCCTATCCCTTTGCCTCTCCCAGGGTCTTCTGCGGTCATCAAAATCTCTGTGAACTTCTTGTCCAAATCCTCTGTTCCAAGGACCACTTCTAGGATCAAATCGATAGTTTCCAGACCGAAATCTACCTCTTTCTTCATGTAAGCCTTTTGGACCACCATAGACAGGTAGAACCCGATGTTCTCTCTCATCAAAATCTCTATGCCCCCAGGGCTTCTCTGGATTAAAGCCAAAGTGGTCTCTTCGACCAAGATGATCTATGCCTGGCCTCACAAGATTCTCTCTAATATCGACAGGAGGTCTTCCAAAATGATCCCTACCATCTAATGGAGGCCTTCCAGGACCTTCTCTTGGATCTATAGGCCGTCCAACGACATCCCTAACATCCACGGGGGGAGGTCTACTAATGCTTTCCCTGGCTTCAATGGGAGGAAACCGGTAATCTCTATCTCCTTCCTGTTGAATGTTATCATTCCCAAGTGGTATCCTTTTTTCTGGATTGGTAACATTGTCTACACTTTGTCTTCCAGGAACTAGAAAAGGTCTTTCTGGCTGACTAAAAATATCTCCTGGAGGAAAAGGACCACGGGGTGGTGGATGAAGAGCTGAATCAAGTACCGATGGGGGAGGGATTCCCCTTTGGGGTGGAATTCCAGGCTGTATTAAAGGGAATCTTGGTCCAGGTGTCTGTGGTATTAGTCCTGGACGAATGTCTAACATTGGCATTGTGGGCATCCTTTGACTAGAGAGATTTAAAGGGGGTAAGTTTTGAGGCCCAGCTGGTGGCTGTGTTCCCAAAAGTCCAGCGGCATTTGGAACATTTGGTGGCTGTACTCCTATAAGTCCGGAATTATTAGGGATATTTGGGGGGAGTACTCCCAAAAGTCCAGAACTACTTGACACAGTTGGTGGCTGTAGTCCCAAAATTCCAGAGTTATTTAGAATATTTGGTGGCTGGGCTCCAATAATCCCAGAACTACTGGAAACATTAGATGGCCGGATTCCAATAATTTCAGAATTACTCGATACATTTGGTCTTTGGACTCCCAGAATTCCAGAATTGCTTGTCACATTTGGCGGCTGTCCTCCTAAAATTGCAGGGCTACTTGGAATATCATTTGGAATCACTAAAACAGAAAGAGGAAAAATAACACAAAAAATCATTCTCGTATAAAAGGAAACTACATTTGTCATTACTAATGCTATAGTTAGCTGGCCTAGAGTTAATCAACTACTCGTATGCCAGAAGAATCAAGGCACATTAGATATTGAACAAAACTTAAAATTATTAAATACCATGCACAGTGAAATTTAAATATTAAAACGTAAGTGGGATGTTACTTAAAAATCTTTACACGGAACATTTAAAGAAAAATGTCAGGTATTATAGTAATTCTCCACCTTTAACAAGGACGTTTCTAAAGTACAAACAAGTTTTAATATACTAACAGTGGTGCCATAAAAGAGGACTTGCTACTTTCAAATATATTTATCTTTTAGACCTAGGTAGAGAATACTGGGTAGAAGTTATTCATACCTAATACTTGCTCATTCTTATCTTTCTTTAAGTATATGTATTTTGTGCAACTGTATTTTGATACCAACACATTAAAGCAGTCCCAATAGGCCCAAAAAAGGAGGGGTGGAGGTCGAAAAAAGAAAGGTGCCAAAATCTATTACTATCCTGAACAGAATGCCAACTTTTTTCAAAGAGAAATTCTAGGAGATAGTGATCTCTTTTTAAACATTGCAACATTTCAATACTGGTGCACTTAACTGGTTACAAATGCACAGCATCTCAAAACTAAACACCAATATAGAGAAGTAGTGCTTATGATTTAACTATGTATTTCTGGGGAATTTATATGTTTACCTGATCTGGTGTTTTCACCAGAAGGAATCTGGTGGTCTAGAAGATGAGGTACTTTTTCTTCAGGCTCTGCTTGTTTAGTTGTAGGATTAAAAACATTTCCAGCTGGCAGAGTGGAAGTAGCAAGACTGCTGGCAACAGAACCACCAGGTAAAACAAGACCACCAAATCCAACATCTTTCACAGTTTCTGGAGTCATGGATAATGGCGGCTGCACTAAAGCTGTTTAAAGAAGGAGAAAATATATTTCAGATTTATTAGGCAAGCAATTCATGTGCTAATTTAAAAATATTAACCATGACCAACCCTGGCCCTGCCAAAGTTTTCAATGGCTTCCTGTCCTCTCTCCCCAATTGTTTGGTAAAACTACTCAGTTACCATAACATACAGGAATTCTCTTCTGGTCCCTCTATTTTATTTATAATGAAAACTAACTTCTTAGAGTTTGACTGTTTTTATTTATTAGCATCTACCTAGCACATTATATAATAACTGATGCTCAAAATAACAAGTCATCAAGAAGAGGCTAAATTATATTGAGAGCTTTTTTTCTAATAAGGGAAAACAATAATTTTTAGAAATATTTTCATAAAAAATGTTTAGTAAAATAAGGACCAGTACTTACAAAGAAAATGCCAATAGTACAAAAAATAATTTCCAAGAATGTCAGTACATGAATTTCTGAATATACAGAAATGATTCATGCAGACTGACAAATACATACAGTGATACAAATCTCCTCAATCCCCTTGAAATTATAATGTACTAGGGTCCTTACATTCACTACTTCTTGTCAAATGAGGTTAGAAAACCCATCACATTAAGAAGAGGTAAAGTGGACTACAAATAAAAAGGTATAAACATTCCATTTTAAAGAATGAGTAGAAAACTCCTTAAGTGTATATGTCATTTATATGTTAAAAAACAGAACCAGAGGAATATAAAGTCACAATTAAACCATCAGACTTTTTAGTCTAGTTTATGCCACAACACAGTTACATCATTTACTTGGGAATTTTAAGAACTGTTTTATCCTCACATATAACTCCAACTTACCTGGACATACTGTTAGCACATAACGGAGCTATAAAATAGGAACAAAACCACCTGCAATCATGTATGGGAATTATGAGAATTAAACAAGACAGTGTAAGCAACTAGGAGAGTACCTGACACATGGATGTATTTCTCTTTCTCCATTCAAGTGATCCCAGATTTTCTAAAATGAATAAACTAAAGAAATAATTGGGAGGTAAACTCTAGGATGAATCTCTGTGAATGCTGAATTCAGAAATGGCTTCAGAACACTCTTCTAATTTTTAGGAAAAACAAAGAATTCTTCCTAATTAACCAAAAATAACAAAAAAGAAGGATCCTAATCCTGTCAGAAAGAAAAAGTAGAGAAGAGTTTACAAATATAAGGAAAATGGATTATATTATCAATAGGTAAGTTCTCTGTCACATATACTGTCCTTACACTAAAGTCCTCTGAACCAACTAAGTTCTCCCAAACTGATGTAGTCATCTCAAAAGGATAGAGAAGCAACGATGAAAGGTCTTGCTGTCTAAAGATAAAACAAATTGAACTTCAGAAAGGAAAGTGAATGCAACTGCTCTAAAGTAAAACTCTATTACTCCATAAACACTAAAGAAAAGAAGAGATGAAGAGGAAAAGGAGAGAAAGAAAATAAGAAAAAATCAGAAATAAGAAAAAGCCTCTTCCCCTTCAGTCACCAGATATCACTGGAAATACCCACAGAACTAAACTCATCACACTGAAAAATGGCACTGAAGAGATAAGAACTTAGCATCTACCATGGTTCTCCTGTACAAATGTACATCAAGATAACTAAATACTACCAGTTGTAAGAAAAGGTTTTTTTAATAGAAAAATTCTAGGTAAGAAATGTGGAAAAATTTTAAAATTCAAAAGATTAGCACTTTGCAACTAATGGAAAGTAGATTAAAAAGCAGTAATGATCAATGGATGAAAACATCAGATGAAAACTTGAAGAGAAAGTTTTTTAATGACCAGGTTCCGTTACCTGAATGCTCTGCTCTGATCCATCTTAACACCACTGAAAGTGGGATAAGAAGAAACTGCATGGCTCCTGATGTGATGTAATATCATGTCTATAGCCACCCACCAGCAGTTAAATACTGTTGCTAAAAATGTTGAAGCAGATTCTAAGCAAACCTTTGGTGCTAAAAAACTTCTATGTACAGAAAAAGCAGAAGACAGAGGAACAAATATGATGCCACAAAGAAGCAAAACCAAATCCACTGTTTGGAATCTTGCATACAGAAGTAAACTGTTTCTTCAACAAATCAGAGACATAAAGAATTAAAAAAGAAAGGCGGGTCTCAGCAGGACTGCTCTATATTAAGACATTTAATACACAAAACAAACCACACAAATGTGATCTAGGGACTCTTCTTTGAATTTTGACTAAAACCAATTATAAATGACATTTTGAGACAACTGAGCAAATCTGAATATAGAATGACTATCACATGTTAATTTTTTAGAAATCATTTAACAATTTGTCTAAAATTTTCATAATAAAAAAATTAACAATAATTTGTAAGAATGAGAATCAACAGGTTAATACTACCATGAATAAAGAAAATTCCCCAAGTAGAAAACTCACATGTTGGTACTACTGGTGGAATGGTGGGTGGTGGTACAACAGGTGGTGGAACTGGAGGTGGCATGAAACCTACACGGGGAAAAAAAAGACCAAAAACAAAAAAGCATAAGAGTTACTTCTTTTAACTCAAAAATTTCAATAGCTATAAATGAAATTCTACATTCTTAAAACAGTCTTCCATTACTATGACCTCATACTTGTGAATATATTCGTCATCTAAAAATATCACTTTTAGGGGGCGCCTGGGTGGCTCAGCTGGTTGGGCAGCTGACTTGATTTTGGCTGGGGTCATGATTTCAGGGTTGGGGGATCGAACCCTCCGTCTGGCTCCACCCTCATCAGGGAGTCTGCTTAAGATTCTCTCTCCCTCTCCTTCTGTCCCTCCCTGCCCCACATTCATGAGCACACTTCTCTCTCTAAAATAAATCTTTTAAAAAAAATCACTTTTATAAACACTACCTTATATTTGATCCTTAGCAAGCTAAGTGAAGCACAGAGATCCTTATCATGATCGTGTCCTATTTATTTGCTCATTTGTGGAAGTCCTGTGGCACTCTCTATGATGCTATAAAGTCAAAGATTAATATAAGCCAGGCAACTTGTTTCGTATGTTAGCACAATGACTGCATGGGAAGTTAAATACCGTATTTCAAGCTGTTGATAACACTATATGCAATAATGTCATCTGTAAAATGTGCTATTGTATTTCTTTGATTTACATGCTGTTTATCTACTAGATCAAAATATTTTCATTAGCCTTGGATGTTACTATATTAGGTTTTGAGCATTGAAATAAACCTTCAATTTAACACTGACTGTTTAATAATTTTAAATGTCAAATGATCAAACTATAAACCTGTTTCCTTGCATTTTTAAGATATAGAGCTACCATTAAATTCAATTTAAAAACAAGTGGCTAAAGGGGCACCAGGGTGGCTCAGTCAGTTAAGTGTCTTTTGGTTTTGGCGCAAGTCATGTTCTCATGGGTCGTGAGACCGAGCTCCATGTCAGGCTCCATGCTCCTCGGGAAGTCTGCTTGAAGATTCTCTCCCTCTGCCCCTCCCCCGGGCTCGCTCCCTCCTCCACCCCCCCAAATCTTAATGAAAAAACAGTGGCTAAAAATAAAGATATGTGATTTTCAACAAATGAATGCTGGACAATGACTTTACAAAGTCTATGCGGTATGGTTTTTGAAATAATCCTTTAAAATTATTTTCTGAAAGGGTGCCTGGGGGGTGCAGTCAGTTAAGCACCCAACCCCTGGTTTCGGCTCAGATCGTGATCTCAAGATTGCGAGATCCAGCCCCACGTCCAGCTCTGCACTTCATGCGGAGTATCCTTGAGTCTCTCCCCCCGCCCCTCCCCCACCCTCTCTCTTTCTCTCTAAAATAAATCTTAAAATTATCTTCTGAAAAAAATTAATTCAGATTCCAAATACAGAAAATATTTGACAAGAATAATTTTCCAATCTTTAACATATAAAAAAGAATTCTTATAATATCTGCATCAATTTCAAATTATATATTTAATTACAATGTGAAAATTTTGTTATATGACAAATAAATTACAACTATTCTCAGATAATGTTGAGGAATTTTTAGGAATTCTGTTCAATTGGTAAGAACTTAAATTATAGAAACCAAACTATTTTTTTCTTACAATACACGAAGAGTTCATGAAGTTCAAAGAAAGATAAAAATAGCTTTGAAAAACAATGTATATCATTTGCTCCTTGTGTCTCTCCCTCATTCTCCTAACCTCCCATGGCCTAATACCAAAAGTTCTATCTCTAAGCTATATAAGCTATTATTTATATTTAATTGGTGTGTGTTAAGTAATCTATATAGTTTCTAAACTAGAAATGCTGACTCAAGGAACCTTTATCAAAAATTTGTAGGGTCAAAAAAAGTATTACAAATTCAATTAGCATTTTTAGATAGATTATAATTTATGTCAAAATGAAAACCATGATTTTTAGGAGGAACAATCTATATAATTTAATGCATACTTCCTGATGAATGGGTGATAACTACAGAGAATTCTGATACGAAAAATTCAACATAAAATTTTAAATTATTTTAAGAATATTTCAATACGTAAAGGATTCCATTTTTTTTCTCTGTCCATACTGGTCCTTCAACCATCTCCATCACCTGGGAACTTATTAGAAATACAAGTGTCTTGCCCCACCTCAGTCTTAGTGAAGCAAAAGGAGGCCAGGCCCAGCACACTTCGTTTTAACACGCCCTCCAAGTGATCCCTATGTATGCTAAGGTTTGAGAATTGATGCTCTATAGCATTTTAACCTGGAAAAATAACAATTTGAATGATACTGTAGGACGCCTGGCTGGCTCAGTCAGTAGAGCACATGACTTGATCTTGCGGTCATTAGTTCAAGCCCCACATTGGGTGTAGGGTTTACTTAAGGAAAATAAATCAAAAAAAAATTTTTTTAAATGAATGAATGAATGATATTCTAAGTAGAGTACACATAAGAGGAAAATTCCTGGGGTGCCTGGGTGGCTCAGTCAGTTACGCATCTGCCTTCGGCTCAGGCCATGATCTCAGGGTCCTGGGATCGAGCCCCATGTTGGGCTCCGCGCTCAGTGGGGAGTCTGCTTCTCTCCTTCCCCACTGCCCCTCCCCACTGCTTATGCTCTCTCTCTTTCTCAAGTAAATAAAATCTTACCAAAAAAAAAAAGATGAAAATTCCTTACCAGGAGGTGGTTGTGAAGGGTTAAAACTTGCTCGCAGAAAAGGAGGTGGAGGGATTGGACTGAATCCAGGAGGAGGAACCGGCATTGAGACAGGAAATGCTGGTGGGACTAAACTAACTGCAGGCACGGCTGGCGCTACTGGAATCTTTTGTGGATAGAAAAAAAAAAGTCCATAAATCACCTTATCCATTAGCAACGATTACATCTTGGAACAACAAAAGGTAAAAAATTTCTATTTCTTTCTAAGGGAGATAACAAATACCATATTAAGTTGTTCTGTTATTTGCCTTCTTGCATACTTATAACTGACTCTAACTTGGGGTAAAAGCAAGGCAGTGTTATTCAACGGATAGTATACGTGAAGACTGAAATCTATCTTACATTCAAGTGATGTAAGGTAATGGGCACCTGCCTGAATAGTGAATATCATGATCAATTTTAAACTGCCACCTCCCACTAAATTTAAAATACCCAGCTATGGTATGCAACCTAACCATTAGGAAGCAGGTCAGTAAGTTTCAAAATGGCGTGAATTTCTCCTAAGTTTATTTTCTACTCCTAGCATAGGTATTTTCTACTCATCCTAGGCACGATAATTTCCAAATATTTACTTGTACTGTGGGTGTACCTCTTTCCTAAAGTATGTATTATCAATGGTCTATTCAACTTCGTTGTCTGAAAGACACACCATACTTCCTTGTGCAAAACTGAATTCCCAAATGTCTTTCCCGTGCTCAGATAAGGATAGTTTCATCTTTCCAATTTCTCAAACCAAAAACCTTACCTCTTCTCTTTCTCACAAGTCAAGTCTCATCATGCCACAAAAGCCCACTGGACACACCATCACATAACCCCTAATTAATTATCTGACCATTTCCTAGTCTCTCCACTGCCATCAGTCTAGTCTGAACCATCAGCTCTCATCTGGATTGCTACAACTGTCTCTTCACTGGTCTCCCTGCTTTTATTAATGCCCAACTAGTCTATTCTCAAAATAGTAGCCAGTGCAATCCTTTAAAACCAAATCTTTTAAAACCTTTGAAGCCAGATCAAGTCACTGCTTTCTTCGAATTCCTCCAATAATGCTCCATCTCAGAGTGAAAACCAGAGTCCTTCTAGAACTCTCCCTTCCGCTAAGCTGCCTCTCATTCACTTCACTTCTAGCCCACTTGCTATTCCTGGAACACACCGAATATGCTCCTGGCCTAGGCCTTTGAACTAGATGCTCCCTCTGCCTAGAGTGCTCTTCCTCAGGTAGTCACATGGTTAATTACCTCAGCAACTTTAAGTTGTTGTTCAAATGTCACATTCTCGAGTCTGCTCTTACCATTTTATTTACAATCATAATCACTTATCCAGGTACCCTGATAACCCTCATACTCCCTTTTCCTTCCACAGTATCTCACAAACTTACTTATTTTGCATTTTGTCTCCCCTACTGAAAACAAAAGCTGCATAAGGGCAGGGGTTTGTGTGGTTTTCTTTCCACTGATGTATCCTTATCCCAGGTGCCTAGAACAGTGAATGTCATAGAAGGAGACCATGGATAAATACTTGTACAATAAATAAACATTTATATATAAATGACACCACTTCTAAAAAAAAAAAAATTTTTTTTCCCCCAAAATTATCTGATTGAATTCTTCTACTTATTCTATTTTGGACAACTTCCTCCAAGTTTTATAAAGTAAATACACAAGTGAAAACAGAAATGTAAGACAACACATTAACAGTAACAAACACCCAGCACTAACCTGTAACATAGCAACAGGTGGAGGAAAAACCTCTGCCTGGGTTGTGACCACTGTCTCCTTTTCAACTGGAGTTGGGCTCTGAGTTGTCTGGACCGTCTCTTTAACGGGTTCTGAGCTTTTCACAGTTTCCCACTCTAAACAAAATATTTGAAATTGATTTCCTCTGGATAGGTGCAAATTTTCATTTTATTTCTATCTATATATTTATTTCGTCTCTACGTCCTTCATCTACCTTGGCACATCTTTAAGACGTGTCCACAACTACAGGTGCCAATCTCGGTTTTGCCCAGATAAGTCTGATGAGAATACTAAGGAGTTCAAAGAAGCGTCACACAAAACACAAATGAAAGATACTAAAATACTTAGGGGATATCATACCTCAAAGGCTGTCTGATATAAGAGGATCAAATCTTACTATCTTGCATCACAAGGTACAAGGGGAGACCGACAAGGAAAAGTATTAACCCAAAAAAGAAAAATCTTTCTGAAAGCACAGCTATGCAAGAATAAAACAAAGAAGCTCTCATGGTTCTTCCACTGGTTCTCCACCTCCCTCAGAGTAAAGATCAAAGTCATTATAATGACTAATAAGACTTTATAGGACTCTGTCTCTCTGTACACCTCCTGACTTTATCTCCTACTTCTCATTCCTCACTAACTTTGCTCAAATCATACTGGTCTCATAATTTTTTAATAGACTTTGCACATACTGTTCCCTCTGTATGGAATGCTCTTTCTCCAGAGAGCTGCACATCTCACTCCTTCAAGTATCACTCTCCATTAGATCTTCGTCACGTAAAACTGCAACAGCTCCACACCCGTACTGTCTACCCTCCTCTTTTCCCTTTTTCTTCTTAGAACTTATCAACCTAGAAATATTATATAGTTTATCTATTTTGTTTATTATGTTTCTTTCCACTAGAAACATGGGTTGGCAAATTTTTCCTATACTAAGTATTTTAGACTTTATGAGCCATATGTTTTCTGTTGCACCTACTCAACTGCTATTGAAAAAAACTCATGTAAGATAGGTAAACACAATTGAGTATGGCTGTGTTTCAATAAAACTCTACAGAAGAGCTTGCCGGCAGGATTTGGCCCATGGGCTAAAATCAACCCCTCTACTACAATGTGCACTCCATGAAAGGATTTTTGTCTGTCTCACTGATATAATCCCAGTTCCTAAAATCATGGCTGGCATACAATAGGAACTAAAATATTTACTGAATGAGTAAGTGTTTAGGAGAATATCCATCAAGAAGAAAAAAAGACCAAGATGAAAACACTGAAAAAGTGTTTGAAAATATTTGCACTGGCCTAAGGATGAAGATATTCTGAAAATTAGCTAGCTTACTTTGGTAAAAGAGCTAAGATGTAAAGAAATAAGCTATATACCACATTTCACAATTATTTTCCAAGTATCCATTTTAAGATTTCTTACTGGTTATAAATGCTTACCATTTTGTGGATTTATAACTGGTATTTTTAAAAATAAAAACACAAATAAAAAAATAGGCCAGTGATCATTTGGTTATAAGCACTCTAGAATTGCATGAATCAGAACTACAGCTCTCTAAACTAAGATTCTATTCCTGCCATTCTCAACATGGATACTAATCGAAATCATCTGGGAAGTTCTTCAAAGAAACTTCTTACATCCCCAGTTCTTATTTAACTTCAAGTAACTGAGGGGCGCCTGGGTGGCTCAGTCAGTCGTTAAGTGGCTGCCTTCGGCTCAGGTCATGATCTTGGGGTCCTGGGATTGAGCCCCGCCCGCATCGGGCTCCTCACTCGGCGGGAAGCCTGCTTCTCCCTCTCCCACTCCCCCTGCTTGTGTTCCCTCTCTCGCTGTCTTTCTGTCAAAAAATAAATAAAATCTTTAAAAAAATAAAAAATAAATTCAAGTAACTGAAATATTTAGTTTAAAAAAGTCTCCATATACTCATATTTGCTCTTTCTCTAAAAGCAAAACTTTTTAAAAGACTTACAGGAAAAATGCTACATTTATAGACTTCTAAAACACTACACTCTGACACTTAGGAAATAAGACCCATTAAGCATACACACTGGAAATGGCAGTTTCAGTTTTTTTCTCTTTTTGGGGGGGTAGAATCCAATAAATAAAATAAGCGCAATTCACCTTACCATGCACAACTCTTATCAATTACAACCTTTTAAGCATACTTTTTTTTAAACAATAAAACTACCCTTAGTGTTCTTACCAGTATTTACAGTTTCCTGGTCAATCATGCCTCCTTCTGCAAAACCTTCCAAGTCATCCACTTTAACTTTTTCCCACGGTATATATGTAACTCCAAGATCCACATCCCAGAATTGTTTATATTCTGTTTTTACACCTTTGTTTAAAGCCCAAGCAATCTATCAGGAATGAAGAGAAGAAAACAGAAAGCTCAGGTATACTGTAAAAACAGGCTAAAATGTTCAAAATTATACGTAAACAGTGTAAATATAAATAAAATTAGTTGGACAAGCATCACTGGATGCTCGAAAAATAATAGTAGCCAAGAAGTTTTTCCATGTATTTCCTGGTTTTGTTTGTTTTTAAATAAAGCCCGCAGTAGATAGCAACGGCATTTATAACATGGGATTTATTTCCACTTCTTACTAAAATTAAAGAACACATTTCCAGAACAATCCAAATCTACTTTTCACCCTAAAAATGTCAACCTACATTAGCAGTAATTAGAATAGTTATCACAATTTAAACAAAATCTTGGTAGTCTAGGAAAGGAGACACTTTACACAGAGGAAACTCTCTGCCACGAAACGACAAAGCACAGGCATATTAACCTTGAAAGTATTTTTTTTAATTAACATACAGGGTATTATTTGTTTCAGGGGTAGAAAGTATTTTTTTTAAGTTTTTAACTCAGTTGCAGAAACTGATGGATTAAATTATCTTCAAGTAGCAGAAATAAAATGTAAATTAGTCACAAGAAGTAAAAATGGAAAAATACACAATAAACACTCAGTTTAAAGACTAAAAGGAAAACAAAAATATACTTATTAATAAACCCTTCACCAGTGGCCTGGAGAACACAAGATGTTAAAAAGGAGAAAATAATAGTATAATTAAGAGGTATGATTAGGAGGCATTAGGAGGAAGTAGTGAATGAAAGATAAGCTTGTTGGGGTGTCTGGCTGGCTCAGCTGGTGGAGCATGCAACTCTTGATCTCAGGGTTATAGGTTTGAGCCCCACACTGGGTGTGGAGATCACTTAAAAATGAAAGAAAGAAAGGAAAGAAAAGAGAGGGGAAGGGAAGGGTGAGGAGGGGAGGGGAGGTATGAGAAGAGAACAGAAAAGAAAAGAAAAAAAGGAAAAGAAAAAAGAAGAACTTAGAAAATGAGAAAGTTCTGCTAATATAATGGTGCCCTGGTTGCCCAAGAGAACTGTAAGTGTAATTTCAAAGAATCATTTGACTAAAGTTTTAGTTACTGTTTTACCTATTTCTAATTCTGTAACTCAGTAATACTGAAATAATAAGCTTTTCTAGAGGTTTTCCCATAACATTAAAATATAAGATGAATCAAATACAGGAACATTCTAATAATCCAGTAAAAGAAGAGCATGGGTCCCTCCCCTCCAGTCTCACCTTAATGACCTTGGACCCAATTTTATAAGATCCGGAACTAAGTTTCTGAAGAGCACGGAAAGCATCTTGTCGATGAACCATGCAGACGTAAGCACAGCCCCTGGGAGGAATCATCTATTAAAAAAATTTTTTTCTTTAGAAAGGGTAAACATAAGGCATTCATTCTGACATTATCTTATGGTTTTAATGAAACAGATAACTGACTACTAAGATTGAACGGTTTTTCCCTTTTCTTTCTTTGGCTGTTTATTGGTACAATCCATCTAAAACTAAGTACTTAGTTTAAAAAGAATTCAAAACCTAGCTGGGTCTTACTCTTAAGTCATAACATAAGCAAAATCTTGAATATCACATGTCAATCGAAGTTTTCCTAATATATAATAAAGAAAACCTAAAGAAAAGTAAAAAGACATGTATACAATACCACCAGATAAAAAGAAAACAATATTGCATGGCCAACATATTTGAAAGCATATAATTTATTCAAAAATTGAAAGTATTTCAGTTTTTCCAAGTGTCATACTGAGTAACGGGAGAAAGATTTTCATTCGGGGGAAGTATCTTATCCTTAATATAAAATCTATAATCTACAAGAAATGATAACACTAAAGCTTTTCAACTGTATAGAACTTAATTTTGCCCAAGTGCTTCTGGACAAGGTTTTAACACAAATAAGAAAACAGCCTTGGTGTTTTCGCTTTCACTTGCAGTTCACCTCAAGCTATTTTCCATACTTTAATACCAAACTTCTCAAAAAAGAAATCTAACCCCTACATACTTCTTCCTCTTTTGCAAAATAGACCCAACTCTTTATCGATGCACTGAAAAATTTTCTTCAAGCTTACTAATGACCCACTAAGTGCTAAATCGAACAGACTTTTTACTCAGTCCTCAAACTCCCCCAAAAAACTAACCGAAAAGTTTATAACCTTTCCATCAAATTTTCAAATCCTGGATTTTATCATTAGCCATTCAATACATTTCAGTTCACAAAATAACTCAGTGCCTATCATTTCTAAGTACTATGCTCTTAAAAGGTAACACAGAAGAGGGAGGAGACAAGGTAAACTAATGCCCAAATGACTATGGAACAAGAAAGGCCAAAAATGTCACAAGTAATAGGACAATCCAAATGCTGCTTGGATTCAGGATCCATTCTGAGCAGTGATTCCTGACTTTGCATTAGAATCACCTGTGCAAATTGTGGCACTTCGATAAGAATCTAAAGACCCTGATCTTGGGCACCCCTATTTTTTCAACTGTCAACACATTTCTGACATCTCAGCTAGGGGAAAATCAGGAAAACATTCAGAGGTTATATGATCACGGACTCCGGCAGACAGTTTATGTTTTGACAGGTGAAATTTAAAAAGACAAAAGAGTAAGAAAAGCCTACAGCACACTCATGGTGTAGAGAGAGGAGTATGAAACTCTTAAGTTGAAACACCCAACCGATCATCTATTTATTATTGTCTGTGCAACTCAGGCAAATCACTTACTTTCCTCACTGGTAAAAAAAAAAAACAACGGGAATTACTTAACCAGCTTCTTGTGAGGTTCCAATGAGATCATATATGGTTGAAAGTAGTATATGAAATTGTCAAACAATTCAATGAAGAGTGCTGTTATTAATAAGGAAAAGTCAAGTTTGGTCAGGTAGGGATCTAAGACTAGAAAGGAAAAGGAGCCAGTTTCCTGATAAATAATGATAAAAGTCCAACAGACATAAAAGCATAAAAACAGTAAATAAAATCAGAGGATTGATGAATTAGAAGACTTCTCAAACAAGTAAATTTCTATAAAACATTCTATGACTTAGTTTTAGCCCCGGGGGGAAAAAACCAGACCTTCAGGAAGAAGAAAATACTCAAAGAAGGAGACTGAATGGAGCAAAAGCACTGAAAAAATCAAGCTGAGGAGTCAAAGAGTTGCGGTCAAGTTCCTGAGGTGCTGTGACCACACAGGTTTTCCTGCCACAGGTTTGCTTTGAGAGGGAGACACGGGGCGAGGAGGAAGGGGACGGGCAGACTGGGACGCCAAGTCCAACTGTGTCTCCACTACTACCTACGCGCTCGTGTGTGGTGATTACAGTTCTGGGGGACTCAGTTCCCTCATTTTCATTACCAAAAAACGGATGGGGTGGAATTAAACCAGGTACAGATAGGGTCTTGCTAGCCCAAACGCTGGATGACTTTAGGAACCAAGTGCTAGCTCTACTGCTATGAATCCCCTAAGAACATTTTGTTAGAATTCCACTAAAAAAGAAAAATTAAGGAGATAAACAGCAGCAGAAATAAACAAATGATTAAAGTCAAATAATCCTTATAAAGATGTGCATTATTAAAGGCAGATACTCTACTGGGCTCATTAGGAACCAAAGTGACTCTCTGACTAAAAATCCTCTATATATTTAAATTTTTAACCTTAAAATATTGTATAAGAAGTGATACTTACATTAATGGATTCAATTTGTCCAAACTCTTCAAACAGATTGGTTAAATCTTGCTGGGTTGCCTTCTTATCCACCTGACCAACCCACAAAGTAGTACTACATACTGTCAAGACATAAAAGAGACGAATGACCTAAATCACACAGACACAGCTATTTTTCAAGCGACTGAAGAAAAAGCACTAATAAAAATAATAAGATTTAAGATGGATATTTCAAACACTTAAGTGACATTTTTATCTGTTAATGCTTAAAATGAACTAAAATCCCAGATACCATCTACATCTATTGCAAATCAACCTCTTACATATTACCTGTTCTCAAGCTCGGCTGCGCACTTTAATCACCTATGGATACCTGGGTCTTACCCCAAAGATGAAGGGTTATGGGGTATGACAGACTGGGAATTGGGAGTTTTAAAATTCTGTAGGTAATTCTAATATGTAACAAAGTCACAAAAACACTTTTCACTGCAATCCCATCTCTGCACCTTTAATCTTTCTGTGCTGGAACAATTAAGTGGATGTTTCTTCCTAATCAACAGTTAAATCTGAAAACAGCACCTTATCCTTAAGGAAGTAATTTGCAGAGAGATACAAGGGGGAAAAAGCTGAATTGGAACTCCTTGTTATCATGAAAAACTTATACTTTAACTGTGGGAAGCATTTCCCTTTAAGAAACAGACCTACACATGAGACATCTCACCTACTATAAGCTGTACCGTTCAGGACTCCATAAACATTTCCTTTTCCTGAAAACACTTACTTGCAAAATATTTACAACAGCTGATATACTTGCAGAGTTTTAACCAATCTAGATTTACATCAATGTCATTTTTAAAGACAAAGTTTTCAGCCTTTTGATGATCTTTTATCTAGTATAGGGCAGGGCTCGAGCAGGTTTTACTTTAGAGCTAATTTAGCCCCACACTAGTAACTATTGCAAGAACTCTACTGAACGAAGGTTTTCAACCACGTCTCTCTACTTCAGCTGGTTTGTACTCACAGGTCTTCCAGACCTGTGTTAGCTTTAAGAATCACTCAGCTAACATAGATTCCCTGGTAATGTTCTTACCCTTCTTTGCCTCACATAGTCTCACCTTGTGTACATATAGTTTAATATTCAACCAAAGTCTCAAGGAGCAATATATTAGTTTTACTCTATTGCTCTAACAAAATACCACAAACTCAGTAGCTAAAAACACAAAAATGTATTCTCTAACAGCTGTGGAGGTCTAAAATGGGTCAACAAGCCTGCATTCTTTCTGGACTCTTACGGGATAATCTGTTTCCTTGACAAGCTCCCTGCGTTCCTTGACTCATGACCCCAACTTCCATCTTCAAAGCCAACGGTGGAGCATTCACCTGTCTTCGTCTTTCTCCTTCCATCTTCACATCACCTTTTCTCTCTGACCCTCTTGTTTCCCCTAGATTACACTGAGCCCTTCCGGATAACCCAAGTTAATCTTCCCGCGCCAAGATCCTGATTAATCATACAGTGTGATACAACATATTTACAAGTTCCAATAATTTGGATATGAACATCTTTGGAGGACCACTATTCAACCTACCACAAACCGAGTAAATTTCTAGACCTCTTTCATTGAATAGTTCCCACTGCTTCATTACTCTACCACATCACAGCTGCTTTAATCTCCCTGAAATATGTTCCATGTTTCCCCTACTGTTTCAAGGTAGTCTCTCCACAAATTTTTCCCACAGACTTTTTTTTTTTTAAACCCAGAAAGCAATAATGAATCTCCCCCATCCCACGAGGAGAGGACGCTAATTCCTAGAATATTACTCCTTGTTGATGTTTCGTATCCACCGCACTATTCATGCATACTCTTATGTTCAAAGGGCCAATGGTAGGGAGATACTACCATATGTGTTTAAAATGCTTTGGGGCCACATGAAATTGATATTGCTGTGGAGTAAAGAGAGTTTTGAGGTAAATAATGAGGGATATACTTTTCACTGTATTTTCTTATGTGCTTTCTGAATTTTCTTTTTTATTGTGTTTTACTCATGAAAAAAACCACAGCAATAGGAAATAGATTCCATGGTCAGTAACTATGTAAATGGTGGCAGCTATAATATGACAAGTAAAATGAAGAACTAAATGGAAGACTCCATATAAAAGCCCTATCCTAAAACTGGTGATTCTGAATGTCCTAATGGTAATCATGAGAAGGGAGGCACAGCAGAGATTTTATGGTCAGGCCTTTGATGTTATTTCTTTATCAGATAGCACTAAAATGTTTGAATTTGGTCTCTCACCCTAAGGGGATAAACACATTTTCAGAGTTAGGCATATCAACATTATTAAGTTAACACTGGCTCTCATAATCAGGTAAGATTCTGGCAAGATAGCCACAGCTTACTGAAAATGCCAGAACTTAGTAAGATGTTGCCTTTAATTATAAGCCTAGATTTCCAGGATCTTATCTCCATGGCAGAAAGAATTTGGAGACCTTCAGAAGTTAGACAACCTGATCAGTGTTCAGCTCTTGGCGAAGAATGACAAATTGCTCCATTTTATGTACTTTGCCCGTCTGCAGTCGGTCTGTTCACCTTAGAAATCATAACTCACTAGGAATCCTTCAGGAATAATCTGGTATTAATTACCACTCACATTCCTACCAAGTGAACTCTCCTTCAAACTCTCACTACTACCAAATTTGTTCTAATTATACATTACAGATTAACATACAAAGGAGGGAAAGTTTGTACAATGGGAATCTCTCCCTTATTGCTGATCCAGTAAGTTTACAATTAGCTTTAAAATCTACATGCTTCCTTCAATAATTATTCCCCAGACCTGGTGGTCAAACTTGTTCAGACACTTTGAACAGAAATTACAGTGTCTATGTAAAAGACAGCAGGCCTGTCCACTTTATATATTAGTCGAGTTCTGTATTTTCTAATTTGAATTTTAAAAAATCAACTCTAAATGACCTTAGTGTTTCAGTAGAACCTGTTCTTCCTTTTTTTCTCCTCTCTTACTTCACAAAAACCAAGGATAAAATTATTCATTTACCAAACTACTTTTCGATTTCTTAGTCTAAAAACAGTTAACTTTAGCAGTTAATGATTTTCTTAATTATTTGTTGAAATCAAAGCTTTGTAAAAGTATGTCATTTACCACTTAATGTTTTAGATCTAATTGGAGGTAGTCCCTTCTTCTGTCGTTCTTTCTCCCTTTCTCTCGCTCTCCTTTCACTTGAGTATGAACGTGATGATTTCCTCTTTCTTTCTCTTGAGCGTGAGCGTGATCGCTTTCTGTGTTTACGCTTTCGAGAACCAGATCGCGACCGAGACCTTCGCTTCCTTGGTGATCTACAAAAAAAATTTTATTTTACTTCTAACGACAATATTATTCTTCTGTCAAAGTTCTCACTTCTAGGTGAGGGGGGAAAACCACACCCACACACAAAAGGTTGTCTTATACTTAGCTACCTCTTAAAAAATGTTTAAGTAGAATGAAATATCAAACATGTATTTTCTCAAATCTATGTACTGCTCAGGCCCACACTGTAATAGATGTTTGTTTGCAATGATTCTTACTGAGACCAGGAAGAAGAGAATGAGATTCTATCCAGTAAGGGCCTTACTTTCTTTAGTGTCTTCCAATTCATTTTTCAAACAAGAGTCAAGAATAGGAATGAAAGACTAAAGAAAATAAAAAGAACCTTAGGTGATAAAGACGTTATATTCTTAAAATTAGGAAACAGAGAATGTTTCCAACAGAGAATTAGGCCACTAAAGAATTCTGCATATAAGTTTTCAACTCCTAAAATTTCAAGGTGCTTGACTTAAAATATAGGGTGATACAGTTCCTTTTTTTCCTGTCACCCATATGCCACTGCACTGCTTCAAAATGCTTAATAAGAAGGTGTTGTTAAGACAAGGAAGCTGCTAAGATTTCAGCTCTAACACTGTAATTGCTTTAGCAAGATTACTCAATGACATGAGATGGGTTTAGATAGAGTGGAACTCACAGGCTCTCGTTTACAAGAGGTAAATACAAATAACCTCTTGAAACAAGTAAGAACTGACTGAAAAAGTCGTCAAAGATACTGCCCCCTTTCCAGCATACACTGTTCAGATTTTCAGGAGTATTTACGTACAGAAAATAGAGTATATTAATATTAAAGACTAATGACTTAAAAGTTTTAAGACAATTTGTACCAAAAACAATGCATATAAATAACTTCAACTCAAATTTGAATAAGCATGTACATTAATGAGATTTAGCCATGTTGAAAAGCTAACAAAGAAAACCACAGGATATACCTTATTATAACCTGATACTATGCTTGATGTTTACAAAATAATTCTTATAGTTTTATTTTTATGACCACTTTTGGTATTATAAGATGAAACCAAATCTAAGAAATACAGTGGAATTTCTAACACTGTTCCTCTATAGCTTGAGTGAACAGTTTTCAGAGGCAATAATATCCTAAGCTGGGTGTAATCATAATATTATTAACTAAAATCAGGTATAATCCCAAATCCAAGTCTTATGATATGGCTGCAATTAATGTATATTATGCAAATAAAAGCCACAGATATATCCAATTAAAAGAGAACAAAGAATTCTTGTTTTTGAAATTCTGAATTACTTCTTTCTGGGGAATATAAAGTGTCATTTTAAGAAAAACACTTCCTTTAATCTTGATACAAAGAAAGAGAGCCAACTTTCAAAGTTCACACACAGCTACTCTTAAATATTATTGTAGAACCTTGAACGAGATCGTGAATGTGTTCTTGATCTTGAGCGAACAGCCACTTTCTTTGCTTCTTGTTCAAAGATCTCCTCTTCCACTCCATCCTGCCCTTCATCTATATCCATATCCTTGAAAGTCAGAAGAACAGCAAACAAAATGCCCAAGTGAGATGCAGTACATACTGACGATTCTGCCTTACAAAATATTCACCATAGTAGCATTAATGCCTAATAGTTCCCTAAAATGGTTAGTGCAGAGCTTAAGTGTGAGGAAAAAATATTTAGGACATTACCATTACTTTATATAAAAATAAAATAGTTTACATAAAAGAAAAACATTTACCATATTTTATAATATTTTCCTCTAACCAATTTTAGAAATTTATGACCCAGAAAAACATTTACTTTTTACCTGTTGCTGAATATCTATAGAATCATCCAAATTCACTTCAGGTTCAAGGAAATGCTGTTGACTGCTCCCTTGTGATGGTGAGGCGGAATGCTCTGATCCAAATGTTCCCTCTTGACTATCCTGAGGGGTTGCCTATTGAGGATGTATACAAACACACAAACATTAAGAAACCATGCATATTATTCAACAGAATTTAAACATACAAACTTCACAAAGTTTTAAAAAGGAGCCCAACACATATAGAAATCCCATGTTAAATCATTTATAATCAACCTAAAATTACACTTCTGTACAAATCCAAGTTTACTTAAGAGCATGGGACACCTCCATAAAAGAAGACTGTAATAGAATGGTAAGATCAAGTAGGCCTTCAAACGAATTTTTAATTGTGGAAAATATAAACATTATACTTTCAAGAATAAAGGGATTACATTCATGAAAGATATATAATGGCACTAAGTTAAATGAATCTAGAATTTCAATGGCAATTAGCATTTTTGTAAAATGCTATAAAATGCTATAATACTTTTAATGTAAAAGTATTTTATATTAAAGAACTAAGTCATTCATTAATGTATAGAGGCAAAACAAAGCTCAAATATCATTATAAATTAACTGATCTAGCAAAACAGTTCTCAATTTGGGCCTTCCTCAACCTCCACCTCTAGAAATTAGCAAAATAGTATTAGGAAGTATTCTGAAATATGTAATACATTTCAGAAACTAATAAAAGTTAGGCAATGAAGACTAATTAAAGGAACATTTAACATTTTAATCTCCCCCCTTTTTTGCTGGGACTAGATTTACAGCAACTGGATATAGTGACACTACTTAACATGATACTTACTAGTCTGAATCTGATTTAGCAATTACATATATTACGGTGTTAACTAAAAATGAGAAAACTAATTATGAAAAAGTCTCCCTACATAAACTTTTCTAAAACACCTTTGCAGGTGTTAAAGATTAATAATAGTTCCTGGTAGTATACAAGCTGGGTGCTACTGTACTAATTAACAGAGAAGATTAAGTAAAAAATACTATTCCCTTGCTACAAACTCTGTGATTGTGAACAAGTTACTTGAATTGTGAAATTCGGTCTCCCTATCTGTAAAAGGAGTACCAGCATAGTGACTACAGATAACAATATTGTATTATAAACTTCAAAGTTGTTAAGAGACTATATCTAACTGTTCCCACCACAAAAAAGTGATAGTTTTATGACATGATAGAGGTGTTAGCTTATTGCAATATGTAAGTGTATCAAATCACAATGTTGTACACCTTAGTTATATATTGTATCTCAGTAACATTTTTTAAAAAAATTCTTATTCTAATGAAATCTCATCTGAAAGAGAAAGCATAAAAATTTAGAGCCAAAAAGAGCATTTAAAGAACCATTCCAAGTTTCTCACTTCATGAAGGAACAGGTTCTCTAAGAACAAGTAACATTTTTAGAAATAAATGAAACTAAAGTAGAAAAGACTTCTTTGACACACCTATTACATGCCACAGTCTGGCCAAAACATCAGTAAGCAAGAACTCTTCCCGAACAAATCAAACAAACACGTTTTAATCCAAGTCCTGGCTTATGTCTTTGAAAGTATAGTAACAACAGAATTCTTAACACAGAAAGGGAATTTTCAGCTCCAACCTGAATCTATTTGGTCCTAAATTCAGTATGCATATATTCTTCACATCATATTTTTCTTCTCCATTTATCTTAAGCTTCATATTCCCCCTATCCTTATTTTTTACCCTTATTTTTCTATTTAATGGTTAACTCTTGGTATAACCACCAAGATCACTGCAACTAATTTTAGTTTCTGAGGTTCTTGTTTGAGTTTTACCCACTTGAAAAGACTATAATCTCATGACCTTTATTCTTTCTTAGAGGTCTTATGAAGAACGAAAGAGAAAATTTATTTTACAATTTTATATGTATAATGTAATATGTATAGTCTATGGGTGTAACCATAATATTATTAACTAAAATCAGGAATAATCCCAAATCCAAGTCTTATGATATGGCTGCAATTAATGTATATTATGCAAATAAAAGCCACAGATATATCCAATTCAACTAAGGGATGCCGGGGTGGCACAGTCAGTTAAGTGACCAACTCTTGGTTTCTGTTTAGGTCATGATCTCAGTCAGGGTTGTGAGATGAGCCCCACTTTGGGTTCCGCATAAGTGCAAAGTCTGCTTAGGACTTTCTCTCACTCTCCCTCTGCTCCTCCCCACCCCCACCACCCATGCGCAGTCGCGTGCACAGGCTCTCTCTCAAAAAAATAATTTAAAAAATAAAAATTCAACTAAAAATTATCCTATTATCTTGCAATTATAGCATTAGGTCCATTGGACCTTTTCCTATATCTAAGACATGTTATGGGATCTTAGAGGTCTTAGCATCCTATATACTGAAACATTTTGCTATTTCATCATCCTAAGGATTATTGTTATTATCCATCAATTATTTCAAGAAAGACTAAAATAATACAAAAAAGAAAAAGCAATGTAACTGTCAAGAGGGGTGATTCAATAGTGAAATAAAATCATCATCATCCAGTTTTACTGCATTACCAAAAATACTGTATATTTCAAGAAGGTAAAAATGAGATTAGAGACACTATCTTTGTAGTCTGCTTTTAAGCTTTCCTTAGAACATAGTTGAATATTTAGATTTTTTCATTTCTGTACATAATGGCAAAGAGAAGAAAACTGACAGGAACATATTTCATAATTATTAAACAAAACAGAACATGAATACAAAGAAAGAGCATCATTCTAGACTCTAATGATGATGTTGAAGTTTAATATCTAAGTGAAGTATCAGACTATGAGTTTTCAGATGACCATATCCTAAATGTATTTCTCAAACTCCAAAACTGATGGCAGAAAAATGTGTCTCTAAGGACAAAAAGAGGGTCTTTTCATCCACTTAAGTCAGTTAATAGGAAGGACTTTATCTTGCAGTATTTTGCAACAAGAACCTAGACTGTTCTATTTTGCTAAAAGAACATGCGATATTTGGGGTGCCTGGGTGGCTCAGTCGTTACGCGTCTGCCTTCGGCTCAGGTCATGATCCCAGGGTCCTGGGATCCAGCCCCGCATCTGGCTCCCTGCTCTGCAGGAAGCCTGCTTCTCCCTCTCCCACTCCCCCTGCTTGTGTTCCTGCTCTCGCTGTCAAATAAATAAATAAAATCTTTAAAAAAAAAAAAATGCGATATTTGAATTTAATTGACACAAAAAGGTTTGCTACGTTTCAACTGTTATATTAAAATTGCTCATATTTTCCCCTATCCCTTTTAGTCTCACTTCTCTAAACCATCCGTGAGAGGACTTCAAATATATTTTAAAAGGATCCACTGGGCCCAGGTGGCAAATGACTGCTTTTTTGATATACTGGTATACATCCTTAGTATACGTTCTGGTATACACCTCTAGTTTCTTCAATGATGACCTCATGTAAAGCATCAATACTGAAAAAATAGAAGACAAGGATAACAGCAGCTAGCAGATACTTCTTCTGAAGTTGGATTAACACATTGTCACATTTTGATAGTTTTAGATCCATGTTCCTCCACTTTTTTCTGTGTAAGTGACAGGAAAGACTTCGTCAAAAGCCTTACTGAAATCCACACATGCTATGCTATAATCCTACAACTGCAGTACCATGAGATGCAATTTATGTGAGCCGAGACATCAAATCACTTAAAGCAACTCAGGGCTCTTAATATTATCACCCATCTTAGGTTTTATCATGTTCAATTCTACTCTTTCCATTATATTTTCCTATATAAAAAAAAAAATACTGAATCAAAGTAAGTTACATATGATAGCTCTTCATTAAGTGGCTGAATCTTCCATAACCTTTGTATTCCTAACATTCTTTTAAAAGTCCTTTTTATCAGTCTTACCATTTTCATTATCAGTATTTCATTTTGAGCTATAGCTTTCCTGACATCTTTTGAACATCCTGATAAAACAATCACCAGTATCATGAACTAGAACTTACTTCAGACAACGGCAATCATTCTCCACCAACATGACTATTACTCCCTTCACAATTCAGCCACTTCTTGGAAGTGCTGTGTTTTCAGTGGTTTTCTATTGTTAGGGATACTAGATATAAACTCACATGCAGGTGTGGTCAGGACTGCAATGAGTAGGGTAGCACCAGAAATCCGTTTCCTTTCTCTAAGACACCGTAAGAACTTTTAGGCGGCCATAATGAGCTTACTGATAAACAAAAATGCTTCAATTTTCTTCCTATTTCAGCCTATCTTCATCATATGAAAGCAACTGGTTTCGTAGAGCCAATTACACAATTTATTAAATTTAATGGTTACCCTGCTGATATACTTTCCAATTTGAAATCTGTCATAGGTTTTGAACACCATCTACCTGATGTATTAGAAAAGTTGCTTTTCTTTCACCACTGCTTCTTCAACACTCATTTCTGAACAACAAAAGCTTTTAACAATATCTAATTCTTTCAAAGGATCTAATTACTGTATCCATTAAAATTTTGGAGATAATGTATTAACTAAGCCCAGAGCTCTATTTTTCTTTTGGTTGGTGAGATTCTGAAGACAGAATAACCCTGGAAAACGGAATGGGAAGAAATCAGACAGGGAGACAAACCATGAAAGACTCAATTATGGGAAAGAAACTGAGGGCTGCTAGAGGGGTGGTGGGTGGGGGGATGGGGTAACTGGGTGACAGGCATTAAGGAGGGCACACGATGTGATGAGCACTGGGTGTTATATGTAACTGATGAATTACTGAACTCTGCATTTGAAACTAATGATGTACTATATGTTGGCTAATTTAAATAACTTTAAAAAAGAAGAAAAAGAATAACGTTCTCTCAAGTTTCTAGGAATTTTCACTTCAATAATTTGGTGTTAATTTTAAGAGTACTACACCTTGATTTTACTGCTCCTTCTGAACCTTCTGAAAGGAAACTGGAACTAAGACAAAACTACTATGCTTATAGACGGACAAATCTGCTGTTTGGATAAACTTTTCCATCACGACTACCCCTTGCCTTTGTAACAGCTCTGTGACTTTTTTTTATTACATTACTGACAACCTGTTTCTTTTCATTGATTTACAACTTGTGTTCTTCTTTAAACAACAACCAAATGTTCTACATTGTGCTCTATCTTCAAAGTTCCTGAATTCTCAGGCAGATATTATCCACCTGACATAATACTACACCTATTCCAACCACTTCTATCAGAATTATTCCTTCAAAACAAGGTCTAGAATTCCATTCTCATAATTCCAGGTATACGTTCCAACCTAGCAAATACCATTAATATCCATTTTATGTTTACTATTTGATTTAAAAGGACAAGTTCAGACCCCAGCAGTGTCCAAGGTTAGTTATCCCTTTAAACTAAAGTAACTCTTCTCTCTTATTTCCAACTGTCCTTCACTTGTACCTCTATTACAGAACCTAGAATCCTGCCGTGTTCATACAGATATACATATTCCATTAGAGGAGAGATTACTTGAGGCCAGACGCTTTTTTGTTCATCTGTGTATACATATCATTTGTCTAACAACACGTTGCTCATACTTTAAAAAGGTTTGTAGTGTTATTTTAGTGCCAAAAAGTTTTGCATATTAGGAAGAAGTGTGATTGGGGGGAATTTGAAAACACCCATATTCTAAACAGTTTATATCTGTAAGTATTTCTCACATGGAGCAGAAACAGGCTTTGTGATGGATTAACCCTGCCTTTGCAACTTGACATATTTTATCAATTCTAAGGTATGATCCTTCTTCACATATTATCATCCCTGTAATTTATAATTCCATAGGATGTTGTACTTTTGAAGTGATTAAAAATTCTTAGCAGTACATAAAATACTGGTGTCTTAAAACTAATGATACATGATATTAGCTATATAGTTTTGCAATGGATGTTTAATCTCACTAAGGTACAATGGAAGTCAAAATGCTATCTCATAGCATTAAGTGTAATCATGCCTCATAAACTTCCTGCCACACAGTAATAGCCTAATTAAAGGCAGCAATCTATTTTGCCATCATCACGATCAACCAAAGCAAAATCATCATGACCTTGCTTGATAGGGAACTGGGTGGAGAAAAGCATATGAAGTTTTAAGTTGTAATACTGAAACACCACCTCTGTCTTCTGTTCTCCACTGCTAGTATGCCAAGCACATATATGTATTCTAGAACACATTCTGGTAACAGAAAAACTATAAACGTTCTGAAAAGGCTGATCTTCCTAGAAGAAGAAAAAACTGAAGAAAAATCACCATGCTTGAGAAACACCACTTTATAAAATGTAGATAGCAATAATTCTAAAGGCCACAAGATGGAGTTATAAACCTTTTGAGGCTGTTGCTGTTCTAGGAGTTGCTGTCTGAGATGTTCAAGGTTTTGCTGCTGTAGCTGTTCAGCTATCTGATGAAAAATGGAATTGTTCACAGATTCTGAAACATGAGAACTAGAAGGAAAAACAAGTAGAAACATACTTTAAAACCCAGTGAAGATAATACGAAAATAACTGATTTTTCAACCTCCCCCATGCCAATTAAATGAAACACTCTACTATGACGTTTACTTTTGAAATATTAACAGAAAATGGAATACCTCAGAACATTAATATGTTAAAATAGAAAGACACTCTCCAACAGTCTTTCAATAGATGGATAACATGTTAAAGATACTTTGATGGAAGATCTGTTATTATGATCTCACACTATTAAATACATATAAATTAGTATTTTTTACATTAGAGCACTTTAAGAAAATTTCAATGAAACATATAAAAACAGTTAAAAGTATTTAAACATTGTCACTTTAACTCCTTCTCTAACTATAAGATAGCGGGAGAAATGGTCTATCAATCAGTACATGTGAAATCTACAATTGACCATAAACTTTACAAAACTAATCTGCTTTCTTTAGAAAAGCATTCACATTATTAGGTATGTTAACAGAAACAGTACTTAGATAAGAGGAAATAATAATTTAACTATACTCTGGGAAATTCACACCTGGAATACACCTGGAATTCTGGGTGCCACAAGGTAAGACATGAACAAAAAAGAGGGCATCCCAAAAGGGGCAATCAGGATGGTGAGAAGTCTTGAAACAGTTGAAAAAAAGTGTACTTCATCTGGAGCAAATAAACCTAAGGGGAAGAATGATACCTAACTTCAAATATTGAAAGGCTATGTCTCAAAAGATAATGGAGCAAATTTGTTTCCTTGCTTCAGAATGCAAAACGGATCAGTGTGTATAAAGTAAATCAAACAGGATTCAGTAATAAAGATTATTTAACTTCTCATCATAGACAGCATTAAAACATTATAAAAATATCCTATCAGAACCATTAAAGGAGACAGATTCTTACATTGTTCAGGACATTGATCTACTAGATCTCAAATGTTTCTCCTCTAATTGTATAATTCATAATCCAAAATATTAGATTTTAATTTTTCAGGTAAAATCTCTTTACCAAAAGGATATATGTATTTTTATGTATTATATAAATGTATTTTAAGAGATATTGTCCCAATATATAAAATTAATAAACTCTGTTTGAAACAAGATTCCCAGAGGCATTCCCTCCATTCACACCATCCTCCATCCTCCATCCTCCACGCCCCCACTTTCCAACATCCTCTTCCCCACTGGTCCTTTCTCAAACCTACAAGAACCTAGAGCTGCACAGAACTGCTTGAGAAAAGAAAATCATTAATCTAAATAAAAATGTACAATCCATATCTTAAAAAAAAACAAAATCCCTATAATCCCAATCTTTATTTGATTAGTCAGATATACTCCCAGAATTTGGCAGAATTCCTTGAAGTGGCCACTGACACTAGAAGCAAGCTTCTTTCCTATTATTTCAAATATTCTTACAATTGAATAAAATAATGCCTAATAAAGATATAGAAAATATCACAACTATATCAACATCTATCAATTTTCCTATAAAGAATTTTGATATATCCCAAATATTTGCAAAGATCTGAGAAAGGAGCCAAAATAAATAGGGAGGCAACAAGACAGCATCTCTACCATCCTTCTGTAATGTTAGAACTCAAGAGCCTGAAGTTATATCCCAACATATTATACCTGGCAGTTCAGAAGGCAATGTCCCAACCAAAGTTTATAATAATAATGGGGAAAACTTATGGTTATAAAGAAAAACAACAATTCTTACAGTTGAGAAGCTGAAATTTCCTTTTTGGGTTCTTCACTATGCTCAGAATCTTCCCCAAAATCAAACCTATCCATCAACTTCTAAGTGGGGAAGGAAAAAAAAGGAGAAAAAGACAAATTAAAAGCTGATTCACACAAAAAGAAGGTACAAATGCTATTCTGAAAGTCAATGATATCCCATTAATTTACCTCTATCACATTAATACATAAATGTTTTATATAATTTTGTTATGTTATAATAAAGCATTTAATTTGAGTGAATATTTTAAAGTACTTTTGACATACACTGCTTTATATAACAAAACAAATCACAACACAGGAGAAACACTAATGCTCTATAGAAGAGAAGATTGGGATTAAAATAATTATTGTGGCTTGCCAATAGTAATAAAGCTTGATTAAAAAACATCTAGGACTATAATCAATGATCTATTCCTAGTACATTTCTCTTCTTAGGCTGCTCCATTGTCTCCCAAATGACCAATTTAAAGGTTTTTTATGTGGGTTAGCTATTTTTTTTTTTTTTTAAGTAGGCTCCATGCCCAGCCGGGAGTCCAATGCCAGGCTTGAACTCATGATCCTGAGATCAAGACCTGAGCTGAGATCAAGAGTTGGACGCTTAACTGACTGAGTCACCCAGGTGCCCCCTATGTGGTTTAGCTATTACATTTTCAGACTAAATTAAGCTGATAGCTAAAAAAGTCTAAAGTAATACACCAGTATTTATTTTCCTAAAAAAATATAGTAGCAGAAACAAAAATAATATGGATAACACTTCCAAGGTATTTTAATTAATAAGAACATTATAACAATAATTAATAAGAACACTGAGGTGATCACACAATAAATTATACATGAAAGATTATCAACTTTAAAAACCACTATCCTTTATACTTAGGCCTCAATTTATCATATTACAGTATTATGACAACTCTAGAGAAGTTTTCCTGTGAACTTTCACATTTTGAACAATTATAATTTTAGCAGGTTAAAATTTTAGAACATAGAACATCAAATATTTGTTAACATCCATAAAAGAAATTAGAAAATTCAGAAAATTATATTTGCCTCAATGGTGAATACACAATTTTACTGACCAGTTAGGAGAATATTCTAAATGTTTCAAGTGGAATTTTAAAGTTACTTAAGTTTCTTCAGAAATCTGTAAACCTTTAGTAAAATTCATAATATATTACATAGTACAGTGCATATTGTAAATAACAGTTCTATAATAAAATATAATTTACAGAATTAGAATCCACATGATAGCATATAGACTTCAATACTTCTTAGAGAACAAATCTGCTAACTTAATTTCTACCTTGTTGAAAGCCACTCCCTGTTCCAAGGGGTTGAGGGTGTTGGCTGCGGCAGCTGCAGCCGTGAGCTGTGCTGTGAGAGCCTGCAACTGCACAACGAGACCAGCGTCCAGAGCCTGCAGGATAGAAGGCTGAGGCTTCTGCTGTTGTAGTTGTAAAGTTTGTATTAACTGCTGAAGCTGGAGGGGGAAAAAAGGAAAATTATTACAAACAGATGCTAGGTTTTATCTGTAAGAATGCCCATCTTTTAGTCAATAAGATTCATTGTTGGAGATCAAGAGAAAATACATACTAACTCAAAACAAGATAATTTTTTAAAAAAATGTTTTGTTGTGTGTGCCATATGTAACAGTCCTTAATAAATCTGTCTTGCTTCTGGAAAGCCAGAGAACTTTAAGCCAAATAAAGTGGTCATACCATGACAGATAAAGAACTCATCACATACAGACTGATTTTTTTCACTAAGCTTTTAAAAATTTTATTTACTTATTTATTTATTTAGAGCGTGCAGGTGTGAGCGGGGAGTGGGACAAAGGAGAGAGAATTCCAAGCAGGATGCACGCTGAGCGTGGAACCCGAAGCAGGGCTCCTGAAGGGGGAGTTCCACGTGGGGCTTGATCCCCCGACCCGGAGCCAAAATCAAGAGCTGGAAGCTCAACTGACTGAGCCACCCAGGTGCCCCTTCACTAAGCTTTTCATTCCTTTTTCAATTAACTCTTTAATCTCCGTAAAAAAAAAAAAAAACAAGCACTGACAACAACTGCTTTTGCTATCTTTCAGTTTACCATCGGATAACACATTTCCTGAAAGCAGGAAAGCAAATAAGAAATTTGTCTCTTGGAGCAGTCTGAAACTAAGGAAATTAAAGGTGAATAGTGCCAACAAGAGCTGAAAACAAATCCTTATTCCCTCTATTCATCCATCCTCTTAAAAAGCAGAAACAACAGTAAGATCCTGAAGATACTGCAGAGTTAAGTAAACCCTATGTTTATGTACATCTTAGAAGTAATTAATACTTTCCTAATCAAGTTCTGAGTTGAATCTGAATATTATCAATTTAGAAAAGAAACAAGACACGTGTACTGTTTAAGTGAAGATTAACTTATAGTGGGAGAAGGTACAAAAGCCGTCCAAGATGCAAGTAATTTCATGCCTATCTCAAACAGCTACATTAAGAAACAAACTAGAGTCATTTGGCTATCAAACAGTAACTACAAACTACTGATGTGATAGCAAAGAAAATTATACCAAAATATATGATAGCTTAGTTACTGCACAGAGGAAGCTCCAGAACAGACAGGATGGAGAGGAAGAAGGGGCAGAGGGGAAAAGAGAGAAGGGGGTTAATACCCTATTTTCTCCTTTACACATTTTCACTACTCCTTTTGATACCCCTATTACTGCAGACAGCACTGTTACTGTTTCAGTCAGGTTCAACCAGTGCAGCATCCTACTTTTCCTTCTACTCTTGACTTAATATTCTATCAATTACGATGTCTTAACTCTCTTTGCACTATTTCTTCTGGAAAAATCCCTTCTCCTGTCAAAAGTATTTATTTTAATAAGTATCTTTTAAAATGAAAACATTTGCTTTATGAATTATTTTCAAAATATCATTATCACAAGATAAAATTAGTAATCTGATAATTTTATCTAATATCCAATTCAGTTTCCCAATTGTCCCCCAAAATGGAGAAACTGGATCTAATCTAAGACTATAACTGAATTAGGTTTTACGTGTTTAAAACTCTAGAATGGTCCTTTCTTTTGGGGGGGGGGGGGACTGTCCTTTTAGAGAGTCTGCAACCCTACTATTTTTCACATATTTATCACTTCCCTTCTTTTATCATTGTTACCAAAATGAAGATACTTCCTAGCTCTAGGCTTCTCGCCTCTCCCATCCACTAAAGTACTGTTCAGATCAGTGACTTCAACATGAAAAAATTCCCCACTGTTTAGCATATGAACTCTGTTTCAGCCCACCATTTGTCTTTTGAAACCAGGTCCACACTTAGTCAACTGTGTCATCATTAACTTACATGCACAGGCCATCTGACCCTCCAGACATCTCAACTCTGAAAGATCTTTGCATACCCAACACTGTTACGCCTCCATATACTATTCATTCATTCTACAAAAATGTACCGAACATCTGCTACAACCTAAACACAGGAGACACAGCAGTGAACAGATGAAAAAAATTCTCATCCTTGTAGAGCATACATTCTGGTGGAAAGAGAGAATAAATAAAATAAATCAATTATATAATGTAACAGAAAGAAAGTAGGTGATAGGAAAAAGCATAGGGGATGAAAGAATGCACAGTTTTAAATCACTTTTTGAAGGCCTTATTGAAGTGACATTTAAACAAAAACTCACAGGTGGCTGAAACCTTATGAATATTTGGAAAAAGAGTTTGAGGGGAGTGGGGGACTTATTGCACAGATCACAATTAATCTGTGTTTTAAAGGACAGGTAAGAAAAAGCAATGCGAAGAATGGGCTATCCTCAAACCCTACCATGAGTAGTTCCATTTCTAGTCTCACTTCAAATGGCACTTCCTCAAAAACACCTTCTCTGGGCGACCCTCTCTAATTCTGACCCCTCCTCCCAAACCCAGTCCCTCTAAAAATTTATCCTGTTTTAAGTCATGTATCACTATCTAAATAAAGTTTTATACTTTTTATTATTTGTCTCCCCTAACATAGAAAGACATCTTCCCTAACAGAAAAGGTATCCCTGGTCTTGCTACTGGAGTAACAATAGCACTTTATGTGGATGGAACTGGAGGGTGTCATGCTGAGTGAAGTAAGTCAATCAGAGAAAGACGTATCATATGACCTCACTGATATGAGGAATTCTTAATCTCAGGAAACAAACTGAGGGTTGCTGGAGTGGTGGGGGTGGGAAGGATGGGGTGGCTGGGTGATAAGACATTGGGGAGGGTATGTGCTATGGTGAGCGCTGTGAATTGTGCAAGACTGTTGAATCACAGATCTGTACCTCTGAAACAAATAATGCAATATATGTTAAGAAAAAAAAAAAGAAGAGGATAGCAGGAGGGGAAGAATGAAGGGGAGGAAATCGGAGGGGGAGACGAACCATGAGAGACGATGGACTCTGAAAAACAAACTGAGGGTTCTAGAGGGGACGGGGTGGGGAGATGGGTTAGCCTGGTGATGGGTATTAAAGAGGGCACGTTCTGCGTGGAGCACTGGGTGTTATGCACAAACAATGAATCATGGAACACTGCATCAAAAGCTAATGATGTAATGTATGGTGACTAACATAACAATAAAAAAAGAGAGGGAAGGGTGCCTGGGTGGCTCAGTCGTTAAGCGTCTGCCTTCGGCTCAGGTCCTGATCCCAGGGTCCTGGGATCGAGCCCCGCATCGGGCTCCCTGCTCCGCGGGAGCCTGCTTCTCCCTTTGCCTCTCTCTCTCTGTCTCTGTCTCTCTCTGTCAAATAAATAAAATCTTAAAAAAAAAAAAAAAGATGTATGTTGATTAACATAACAATAAAAAATAAATAAAACAATAGCACTTAATAATGTTTTGCACAAACTATGTGCTAAGTCAGTATTTTGGTATAAAACTGCATAAAATGATGCCTTACTAAATGAAAAAGCAAGCAAGTTACAGAGTAGTATCTATAGTGTGATCTCATTTTTACAGAAATAACACATACTCTTTAGGTGGTACATTATAAAATAATACATTAGGAAAATAATGAGTTCTAAATCATTGGTGATTTAACAAAAAAAAACTGCTCACCTGTTGGCCTTGAGGACTTTGTAAGATTTGAGCTACTGCTGCAAGTGTATCTGTGTTTGTTATCTGAGATACCCACGGATCCGGAAGACCCTGGACCACATTGGCTGGAGTAACAGGTGTCACAGGAGTTCCTTTTAAAAAAAAGACATCACACCCACCCAAATAAACGTGTAAGTAAATAAATAAGACTTGGAAAGGTAGAGAGATTTGCTTTGTCACTTTTATAAAATATATACAAACTTAAATAAATGTTTTTATTTTATTGTCTAATTACAGAATTAGGTAGACTTAAAAAAAAAAGGATCTGTCCATACTTGTCCTCATTAAGCTATTACTAACTTTAAAGAAGACTACACTACTTAGAAATCATTGTAAATCTTATTACAGAAGAAAATTCAATGACATGAGGAAATATTCAAAATATAATTGAAAAATTATAAAATAGTATGTTCAATATAAAACTATTTTTGTTTAAAAATGGATGTGTATATGTACAGACACACACCAAAAACTAAATATATACCAAATGTAAATTCCTGAACTATAAGAAATTTTTAAAATGACATTTAAATATACTTTAAAAATATACTTTAAAAAACAAGATTTGAGATTATTACTAAAGCATTCTTGGCTTCATTAGATAATTTTTTCAGGGTTCCTTATAAATATTAAGTTCCCCTGCTATACTACAAGTTGATTTACATGAAAATTTATGGACAGCCTACACCAGGAACACTTAAGTGACAAAACAATTTCCCAAAGTTCACTATATTTATGCTTCTAGGGATTTAAAAAATTCAGATTTTTAATTTTTAGAAAAGAATTATACACAAATATAAATTCTGAGTCTGTTTTTACTTCGAATTACATTTCCTTTCAATTACTTAATGCTAGATAAGCTCTCTTGCACGGTTAAAATTGTTACTTTATAAATGAATAATCACCTGGAAAAATAAAAAAGTAGAATATTTAGAAAACAAATCTCTATCAAGGGAACATACCTGGGGTGTTGCTCATAGCAGTAGTAGTACTGGCCAAAACAGGTGTGACAACTGGGGGAGGAATCCCTGCTGCCATATCCAAAAGAGGCTGAATAATCTCACTCTTAAACACATTATTCTTCTGCCATAAATTTAATACTCTCACTATTTTACTCTGGAGGAAAAAAGAAAAATGACATTTTGATTTTCTGCTTTCAAAACTTAGCACAGTCATTTCACAGAGACTATTCGAACAGTGGATGGGAAGGATGGATTAAAATACTTCTGTAGTACTTTCCGCCCCTGAAATCATGTTTCTATAATTTTGATTTCCTAATCTTAACACACTTGAAAAAAAAAAGTTCATTTTGACAGATGTACAAGGTAAATGAAAGTTACATTTAGTAGAAGGCAGGAATGACAACTCAGTTTCAGCTTCTATGGGAAGTCTAATGAGATCGATGGATACGGTTGCCTGGAGACTGTATTAACGCTGTTGAGGTGATCAGGATTTATCTCAGCACCAAAGCTGTATTTACAGGTAATTTTGACTTCATCTTTTAAACAAATAACAAACTTTGTCTTACAAAGTCCTTCTCTAACGTGACCTTTTAAAAATTTAATGTTGCAACCAACCCTATTAGAAGAGTAATCTAAATTTCCAAATCAGTATCCCAAAATATGGAAACTTCTAACACCTTTGAGCACATATAAAGAACCCCTTTTTACTCTTTCTCAGGGTCCAAAGCCTTCTTTTTATGTGGTACAGAATATTTATTCATTCAGATCTAAAAGACTTAGTAGTGTGTTTTCCAGTACTAATAAAACTTTACCAAAATAAAAGAATTTTAAAATGCAGTTATTTTCTATTAACTGCTTAGCAAATCCATTTTTCATAGACACTAAATAGGTAAATATCACTTCAGGTCAAATAATCAAAACATTAAATTAGTTGTGTGTGATAATAAATACGCTTTCAGTGTAATTCCAAAAGCTTATTATAGCCAGTTTCTTTAACACCAATTGCTTCAGTAAGTTAAAAAAAATAGCCAAATCAACTACATCTCTCCACTTTTGTTTAAGATGCTAAGAATCTCAGAATGTGGAGAGTGTAATAACTAAATATTCAAATTCAGAATTACGAGGAGTACAGGGTAACATAAAATCATAGTTAAGATAAACTAGAGTCTCATTAGACCAAAGGGTAATGTACCGACTTAAAAAAAAAAAATTCCTCGCATCAGTGAGACGGTACTTGTCTTTCTCTGGTAAGACCGATGAATCACAGACCTGTACCCCTGAAACAAGTAATACATTGTATGGTAATTAAAAAAAAAAAAGGCAGCATACCTTGTCATCCCCAGGGCAACGATATAAATTCTGGAAAGTGCTAATGATGTTATTACTAAATCTGGGCGCAAACACATCCTTTTCTTGACCAAACTGATGTCGAGACTGTCGTACAATGGAGTCAATAACATAGAGTCCAGGTACCTTGTATTCTGGTTTACACTGACAGAGAACGGGAAGGAATGAGAAGGTAGCACTCGTTATAAACCCTGCACAAACACAGCAACAGTGCTTATGCAGACGTAAGGAACGTTCAGACATCGACTATCCCACACCATCTGTCTCTGGAACGGCATTTTAATCCACACTGGCTACTCCATTCACCCAGCTCAACTGCCAATCACGTAGGTTCCAAAACAGTACTGCATAACTGGCTTGAATGGCAAAGGCCAAAAGGATAAATAAGGTACTGTTGTAACAAAAAAAATTTTTTGTTTAATGACTTTGAAAAGCCACACGGAAGGAAGCAGCAAATTCAGGAAAGAGCTCTAGAGAATGCATTGCCAACATACATTAGACTTCATCTGAAAACCATATAACAAAAGGGTTTCTGAACTAATGAAGGAACACTGTAACATTCTAAATACACGGAGCCCAAAGCTTCAAAAGTTTTCTCAAATACCACACCTATAAGAAAGATAAGACACAACCATTATGATTCCAGTAATCTATCCTATTTTTTAGCTACTCCACTGATAAATGTTTCTCAACCTTCTTATCCACCACCCAAATTGAGGAAAATGTCTCCTACTTTCTTGCCACAAGCTTTTCTTCTGGTTAGGTGAGCACAATGAAGAATCCTTTTAGTATCAAGGTTACTGCTCCTGGTTTGTCACCATATCCAGAAGCATAAGAAAACCTGCTTTCCAAGCTTATACTAATTAACATGGAATTATGGCTGCAAAAAGCAGCTTCAATTTTTGGGTGTAATTAGGTAAGTATCTCACCCAAAATAATTTCCTGGAAATCACATATGGCACGTAAATTACATTCTTGAAAAATCCTTGGAAACCCGACTACCAGTGAGAAAAGGATCCTCAATCCACCCCTAACACACACATACGTTTCTAATGGCATTTTCAGCTGAGACAATGAGTGATTTTATTCTGCAAAAATATAAGATGATGCTTCATCTATGACGCTTCATCTGTTCCCTCAAATACTTTTTAAGAATCTTATCCTTAGATTCTTACTTAGTCAAGAAAATGAAGAGACCTTTATTATCAATTCACTAGTATCTACTGCAACATTCTGACTGTTAAGACATAAGAGGGCAATAGGGTTGGTGTTTGGATACTGAAGTTTTAAGTTTAACCTACGTAAAGGTTAAAAACATCTGCTCTGTTGAAAGTTATGGTTTTTCAAAGCCTGAAATAGTTTTCCCTCATGTTCCCAAAACATTTAGCATATTCATCCTTCAGTTCATGTATCTGGCCAAAGGCTATTTTCCCCTTTGACTACCATACATTCAAAGAAATATCAACCTAGCTGAGCAAATAATGTATCTCAATAAAGAAAACTTAAAATTTAATGAAAAGCAGGACATCCACTTTGTTAAAATTTATCTATTCCCTAATGCCATAAACACAGATAAGTGATTAATAATTACTGATTAACTTGATTTATTGGCATCTTAATTTTGCTAAACACAAAAAATCTGATATACATTATTTCATATAAATGATTATCTTGAGAGTGAGATTGAATAGAATTTATAAGTTGCTTGTAAGAGCTTTAAAAATTAATACTGAGAGGTGCCTGGGTGGCGGTTGGTTAAATGTCCAACTCTTGATTTCAGCTCAGGCTGTGATCTCAGGGTCCTGAGATTGAGCCCGTGTCAGGTTCTGCACTTGGCAGGGAGTCTGCTTGAGATTCTCTCTCCCTTTCCCTCTGCCCCTACCCCCGCTTGTGCTTTCTCTCTCTCAAATAAATTTTTTAAAAAATTAATACTGAATGGTTAAGTAATGAATGTACTAAATATAAAAAAAACACACCTTTTTCGCTGATTTATAACAAAAACTAAGGTTACAGACTCACAACACAGAAGAATCATGAGTGCACAAGATAATAAATGGACCTTTGGGGCCTACTGTAAGATCCCAAAGCTTCAAACATATTAGTTTAGAGGTAAACTATAAGGCCTAAGGAAAAAATATTTCTTCATCCACAGAATCTTTATATATACCATTAAGATGTTGTAGAAAAGATTTTCCCTCACTTGTAGATTAGGCATTTTTGCCACAAAAATGGCAAAAAAAAAAAAAAATCTTAAGTATGACTTAATGTTTTAAAATAACTTAATAATAATTGGTAAACTTAGCTAAGTCACCAACTAGAAACCTAAGGAAACATTACAACCAAAAACCTGAAATGTTTTTTCAATTTCCTCTTCAAGTTCTATCAGTACTGAAAACACAAGAACTCCTAAGACTTTCCACTGGTATGAGGAATTTTTACTCTATAACTAATAATAATAAAGTCATGTCATATTAAGTTTTCAGTTATATCATCTTCAAACTACATTCTAGTAATTTCCATTTCTTCTGCTGCAGAAATAGGAGAGAGAAAGGCAATAACATAGGGAGAATGCACCTTTAAACATATCACATGATTTTCGTTCTAATGTTATTCAAACTGTTATGTGAATACCATTAGAAGTCAGAGTTTTTTGCCAAAAAAACTCTCTAGGTGACTTGGACCACACACTCTGCAATATATAAACACACCTTATATAATGATTCTATTATTAGAATTCATGCTACCACTTTCAGCTCTAAAAGTTAACATTAAGGACACTTGGGTGGCTCGGTTAGTTGGGCGTCCAACTCTTGATTTCAGCTCAGGTCATGATCTCAGAGTTGTGAGACAGAGCTCCATGGGGCTCAGCGCTGGGCATGGAGCCTGCTTAAGATTCTCTTTCTCCCTCTATACTTGCAAAGCACTGAATGATACTGACAATAGCATTTAAGTAAGGGCTGTTCCCAGGACACAGTCATACCTGACACTACAGGAGTTCTCAAAGCGAATACTGGAGAAAAATCCTCTCCTGTTTCTGGGAGGAGGTAGAGAAAAGGAACCATTTTGAGACAGCCAGCAGCATTCTGTTCTTAGTAAGGTATGACCTTAGGAGAAACTATTTAACCAGAGCCTAATCTGCTGGGGTTTAACCAGAGTCTCACTGACCTGGGGTAAGGAAAATACAGCCATCCTGTCCTGCCTAAGGAGGATTAAGAAAAACTGAGAAGCATGTGTTAAGTCCATGGTGCAGAGGTACAGGCTCCATGAAAAAAACCTAATATCATACTCATTGGTGACAAACTGAAAGTTTTCCCACTAAGACTAAGTATGGATGACAACAAGGAAAGGATGCCCCCTCTCACCACTGCTTTTCAACATCATACAGGAAGTCCTAGCTAATGCAACAAGAAAAGGAAATAAAAGGTATACAGATTGGGAAGGAAGGTTCAACAGGAAGTAAACATATATAATACTCTTAATTGAGCCTATGAGATCTTCACTGCTAACTCTGAACCTATCTACATATTATTTAAGGAAATAACACTTAACTATAGAACTTAAATTAGAGATACAAAATAAGTGGAAAGACTAAGTGGTATTTTCTTTTAAGATGGCAAACACACTACTTTTGCATCGTTTTTGAGACGTCTCATGATTGAGGTTTTCCTAAAAGTGTGGAACCTCAGAAATTCCACAATAGCAATTATATTTCCACAACACCTAAGCTGGAAGGGATAACAGGGAATCACTAATTCCTTTCCTCTTTACACTTAGAGGGCCGTGGTCACCCAAGCAAGGAAGCAAGAGATGGACCGGGTTTTGATACTTCACTGACTTATAAAGTATCATTGCGTAACTATAGGAGAAGGAAGATGACAAGGAACAGTTCCTGATGAAACAAATCTAAACAAATCCAAATTTAATATACAGCTTAGTAAAATATTTCAGATTAAGCTTGATGTGATAATACTGAATCTGAAGAAAAATAGTAATAGTTTATAACTAATAATAACCTAATTTTTTTGGTTTGATAAAAGGACATTTTCCTCTTTGACTACAGAAATTCATTCTATTTGATGAGTCCTTAAGAGTCTAAAACACATTTTGACAAACAAGATTTAATGCTGGTTGAAAATTTAACTCCTTAAGTAAAGGTGATATGAGGGTAGTATCTTTTAAAAAGAATCTTAAACTAAGACTCATTAAATTAGAAGAATTTAAGTCTAACAGTATTAAGTGTGGGTAAAGATGGGAGCAATACAAGCTCACACACTGAATGAGAGTGGGAGTATGAATTAGTACAACCATTATGAAATTAATTTGGTATTATCTAGCCAAGTTGAAGAAATGCATATCCTACTACCCAGCAATTCCACTCCACAAAAATATAAACCACACCAGGATAAATATGAAAGTGTGTTCTCAGCAGTGTATTGTTCATAACTCCAAAACCTGGAAAACATACAAACACAATGTCTGTCAACAGAATAGATAAGCAGCAGTTATTCACATAATGGAATATACACAGCAATGAAAAGAAATAAACATTGTTATATACAACAGGGATGAATCCTAAACATATAATACTGAGTAAAAACAACTGTACACTAAAGAATATATAATATAGGATTCCATTTATGCAAAACTGAAAAGCAGATTAAATTGCTTTAAGAATTCAGACTTAAAGAGTAATACTATAATGCCAAACAAGAACATGACTAACATAAAAGTCAGACTGTGTGTTACTTAGGGAGGGATATGATCAGGAACAGGTACTTGGGGACTTCAGTTGAAGTTCCATGTCTTGCACTGAGTGGTAGTTACACAGAAACTTTAAAAACTTCAGCTATGCATATTAAGTTTTTCTGCACTTTTCTGTATATGTGTACAAATATTTCATATAAAAAGAAACATTTATATAAACATCCTTGAGTTCTTAAATAAAACACAATAGGCAAAAGCTTCTCTTAATGACTAACAATGACTGATAAGCTCAAGATATATTTAAGATGTAAATTTAAGGTGTATGGGACGAAGAGCTGATCTAAAATATCCCAGAGGAGAATTTAGTAAAAAGTACATAAGGAAAGTGAGAATCTGAAAATTTACTGTTTTCAAACTATCTGTGGCCAACTGCCCAAATCTTTGTGTACCCCATACCAGAGGCAAGAAGCCAGAGTAATCTTTCAAGCAATTTTCCTGGCCTATGGGAAATCGTCTTATATTATTATCTTTTCATTTATTACTAGCATTCATTCCTCTATACATCTTTCATGCTAAACACAGACTCACATATAACATATTATCAAACTGCTGCCATATTTCTCCTCTCCTTGCACTATTTGTATATGATGGGTGAAGGAAAAGTATAGCCAAGCTAATATGTGGTGTTCTGGGGCTAGAGGATACCCAAAATTACAAGTCAACATCATGAAATAATACCTCACATTTTTCTTAGATCTCTCAATTGACTATATATAATGTACATAACAAATGGACTTTTTCATAAATTTGTTGAAACAGTATTTCTACTATAAACAGTACTCTAATTCAGTGGTTTTACAAATTGGGTTCCACAGAAACAAAGCGTCTATGCAAGGGTGTCAAGGGCTATGGGGCAGAAAACAAAATAGGTGGAGTGGGCATCTGGTTCCCTACCATAACCACTACTGCAACATTTTTACTTGTGTTTTATCTGTCTCCCCTTTCCCCCATATTAAAGTTCCAGTAAGAATAGGAAAGAAGAAAAAAAAAGGTTTCTTCTGGTATTAAAAAAATTATATACAATCTGGAACCTCATTAAAACCAAAAAAAAATCTTTGTTCTGTAAGACCTTGGATCTTGTGTGAAGAGAATGAAAGGACAAGCTACCAACTAAAAAGAACTTACATCTAGAACATTATTCAGAACTCTGAAAACTTGACAGTAAAAAAACCATCCAATCAGAAAATGGACAAAAACATGAAGAGATATTTCATTGAAAATGCCAAATAAGCATGTGAAAATATGTTCAACATGATCAGCCATTAGGTAAATGCAAATTAAACCACAATGAGACACCACTATACATTTATCAGAACAGCTAAAATAAAAAATAGTGGTAACACCAAACGATGGCAAGAATGTGGAAACTGGATCAATCATACACCGTTGGTGGGAATGTAAAATGGTACAGCCATTCTAGAAAAGAGTAGCAATTTCTTATAAAACAAAACATGCACTTACTTTCCCAGAGAAATGAAAACTTATATTCACACAAAAATCCACAAATGTTCCTAGCAGCTTTATTAATAGCCCCCCCAAATGGAAATGATTCAGATGACCTTCAATGGGTGAACAGTCAGACAAACTGTGGTACATCCATACCATGGAATGTTACTCAAAAATGAAGGAGCCATTAGACACATGCACAATTTGGATGGATCTAAATAAAATTATACTGAGCAAAACAAGCCAATTTCAAGAGGCTACATTTACATAACATTCCTGAAATGGCAAAATTAGAGATAGAGAACAGACTAATGCCCCCCAGGAGTTAGGAATGGGGGGAGGAGGAGAGTAGAGTGTGGCTCTATAAAAAGGGGAAGGAATATGATGGCTCCCTGGGGTGATGGAACTATTCTATATCTTGACTATGGTGGTGGTTTTATGAATCAATATGTATGATTAAATTGCCTAGAACTAAATATACATACACACAAATGAGTGCACGTAAAACTGGTAAAATCTAAATTTGGTGGACTGTATGAACGTCCTGGTTGTAATACTTACGTTATCAAGACATTACCATTGGGGGAAACCGGGTGAAGAGTATATGGGATCTCTCTTTACTGTAATCTAATGGAAGTATCATTATTATCTATTGATTAAATGACAGATGAATCTACAATTATCACAAAATAACTTAAAAATGTACACACACAACTCAATTTACCATTACACTAACCCACTGCCGAATTTCTGCTTTAAACGGGGTAGGGGTAAAGCATTTAAATTTCTGCCCAGACACTGACTAGCAATGTTATTCCACTTTGGTGTTCTAAGTCAGACTTTAAAATCAAAAGTCTCATGCTCTACTGACTGAGCCAGCCAGGTATCCTTCTAAAGCAGACTTTAAGATACAGAAGTAAGCTGTCTGGGTTGTGACCAACTGTACAAGTGATGGAAGAGTTGAACAGACTGTTTACCTCATTCACCATGACATAGCAGAACTGTTGATGAACCTCTTAACTATGAAAGACAGCATTTCATATGTCTTTCAGGCTATGGAGAAACTAGGTGAAACTTAGAAACTCAGTATAATGACTGAAGAATGTGGAGGGCTGGACAAAACTGAAGCTCTATAAAACCATGAAAATGAGTTTGTATACAAAGCTTCACTAAACTTGATGGAGAAGTACTTCTCTTAAGAGAAAGGTCAAAATATTGTGCCAGGAACTACCTCTGAAAGTTATACATTCTAAATGGAGGATGGCATTCCTGGGACTTCTAACTTTTAGAGTGCACGGCATAAAGCTGTTTGTACTATGTTTGGTATAAGTTTGTCCTACTGTTTCTCTACTAAAAATTCTTCTTAAAATGTGGCTACTGGAGCACTTTGTATAATGAAACTATATTTGAACAGTTCCAAACTGTACGTACTGTATGAGGTTTCTCCTCTCAACATTTCTATATTGAATGTTATACCTTGCAGTGTCCTGTAAAGAGATTAAATTCTACCCTTTTCTTTACTTCAACATCCCCCCCCCAATATTGACTTGCTTTTCCAGACAGATTCTACAATTATCTCACAATGGAGATAATTTTGCTCACTTAAGGTCTAAGATTCTGAAATATCTTATTAGAAGTACCCCTGCTCTAAATCAAATCAGTCAAAAAACATTTACCCATAAGTTCATGTTTATCCTTTAAACCCTTACTATTCAAATTGTGGCTTCTGAACTGACAGCAAAAGTATCATCTAGGAACAGGTAGAAATGCAGACTCTCAGCCCCTTGCCACACTTAGTGAATTCAGAATCTGAATTTTAACAAGATCCCTAGGTAACTCCTATGCACAAAAAAGTTTTTAAAATGCACTGCTTTAGACATTCGAAACTTTTTAAAACAACTTTTAAAAACTTTTGAACAATGAAATTTTCCAATCACCAACATTTCTATTTTATACTGTGATTTACCTAAAACACAGAGCATACTTATTTTACTTTGCATCTCAGCCTCAATTCACTAGTTGTTCATCTCAAAATATGTTTTACTAATACTCTAAGAAACCAAGACTTTATAAAAAAGCTGAATCGCATAAAGGTTAACTGATGTAGTCAAGGTTACCTACACAACATAGTCACCTCACTTTGATTCACATACCCTTCTCCGAGTCAACTATTTTTTTTTTAAAGATTTTTTTTTTTATTTATTTTATTTGAGAGAGAGAATGAGAGAGAGAGAGCACATGAGAGGGGGGAGGATCAGAGGGAGGAGCAGACTCCCTGCTGAGCAGGGAGCCCGATGCGGGACTCGATCCCGGAACTCCAGGATCATGACCTGAGCCGAAGGCAGTCGTTTAATCAACTGAGCCACCCAGGTGCCCCCGAGTCAACTATTTTTAAGAAACACTGCAACCTTCCTGAATCCTTAACGCCATATACCACTGATTCTCAAACTGGTTCTGGTTACATCTAGGCACACGAACATGGGCAGAGTACAAAACCTAAATTCAATTACAGTAAAGTACAAATATAGTATCATTTCATAAGTTTTAAGCCCTATGTACTCCTGCCAAAAACCATGGCATGAATAGGGCACTGATCACCAAGAGGGCAAAAAACTATAATTTGGTCACCTTGGACTCTGCTTATAAAAAGCATTACTAAATGTGTATAAAACAACTGTTTTCAACTTCACCCTCTGCTTACCCTAGAAAGTGGAATTTCAGGTCTATAAAATAAGATGTTGAGATGTATAATGTCTTAATGGATGAGATAAAATGAATCAGCAGAAGAGAAGTAGATGGTAGGCAATGTCTTATCCACACCTTATCTAAAAGAAGAGCTGCTCTCTAGGCATTCTGCTTGAAATGACAAGTGAGAATTAACACATTTATAATTTTATTTAAAATCAATCATATGAACACCATTTTTTTCAAGGGACAAATGCTCACTATGGCACTGCAAATTAAAAGAACATCTACCTAAATGAAAGTTATTGTTTTTAGAATTATCCAAAAAGCACTATCATTTAATTGTTTTTAATTTAATTTATTATTTTTTTTAAGTAGGCTCCATGCTGGTGGAGCCCAGTGCGGGGGGCTTGAACTTACAACCCTAAGATCAAGACCCGAACTAAGATCAAGAGTTGGACCCTTAACCGACTGAGCGACCCAGGCACCCTTATTTCTTAATTAGAAAATAAATGGAATCACTTTTGAACAGTCCACCAAAACAATTTAAACTTGAGTATTTGATTTAAAAGAGTACAAGGCATTAATCTGTAATTATAGTACATTTAGCTTATATATTGAAAATTATATACTTACTTTCTGAATGAATTTCTCAACGCTCTGTACCACATGTTTATAGAACTAAAAGAAAAAAACATGAAGTGTGGTTTTAAAATCTATTCAGTTAGATTTGAATTTTCCTGTTAAACACAGGTTTAACATAGTTTCAAAGGTCTATCAAAACAATGAATTTTAATCATGAATTTTGACACAAACATGTCACCCACCTTCATAAGCAATTATTATGATACCTAATTAGTAAAGGATTCTTAAAGTGCATACATGGTCAGTAAAATTGACCCCTGAACATAGGTTTGAACTGTGTGGGTCCACTTACATGCTGATTTTTTTCAATAAACACAGTACTATAAATGTATTTTCTCTTCCTTATGAGTTTCTTTGTAACATTATTTTCTCTGACTCACTCAATTGTAAGAATGCAGTATATTATACATATAACATACAAACTAGATGTTAATCAACTGTTATCGGTAAGGTTTCTGGACAACAGCAGCAGGCTATCAGTAGTTAAGTTTTGGCAGAGTCCAAAGTTATACATAGATTCCTGACTGCATGGGGGGATCAGCACCCCAACGCCCATGATGTTCAAGGGCCAACTGTATATCCAAAGTTTGTTATGAATTAGAAAAGAATTTGATCACAGTCCTCATAAAACCATACTTTCACAAACTGTTACGTTGACAGCAAAGTACTTGCAATAAGCACACAGGCAGATGTATACTCTTACTTTCAGGGAAGGAAAAGATTTCTTACAGTATCATTAAATTAGGGTAACACCAGAAATATCAAATAACTCAACAAATAGCATTAATAAACATATGCAAGGGAGTTGTTTTCGACTTCATTATCTCTTGCTTCTCCTGGAAAACGGAACAAGCATATATAATAAGATATAGAGATGTATAAGGTTCTCATGGATCAGCCGAAACAAATCAGCAGAAGTGAAGTTAACATACACATTAAAAATGAATAATGGGCTGTTATCAATAGTAAGAAAACAGATATAAGTTTTAGAAACACTATGAATAAACCTAAAAAGGAACAAATTAGAAATTATAGATTAAAAAAATTACAGATTAAGCAAAAGATATCTAAATTTATGCTTAATAAATACCTCAATGGCAACTGCATAATTAGCATATTTGTTTAAAGAACTTGAATTGTGCTTCTATTTATACTTTTGATCTCAAGAATTATACTTTAAGGGATATCCCCTCAGACTGAAGAGACACATGAACATTCCTTTGAACTGCATCATGAAAATCAAAAATCAAAATGAAAGGAAACCTGATTACTCATAGTCATCAAAGCAAAATGTACAAGTTTAAGCTTGGCTAAAATTTTCATACTATAAAGGAACAGTTTACTCAACAGTGTAAGTCATTTAAATAAAAAAGCCAAAACAACTACTTAAAAGTAAGCACTACTTAAACATTTAAAAGCAACATACAAAATATTAATTACACACTGAGTGATTTTTATTAAATATTAATTCTTCTGGAAAACACCTTGACAATGCTTTTTGCTTCTAGCTACTTTACTACATGTAATTCTGAGGAAAACTGCTTACTAAACTTTAATTCAAAGTTTATCAGTTCACATAGGTCTTCTTCCCCAATAGGTATTTTGTGAGATTTTGCTGACAGTGTGCAATGTTAACAAGCACCCATTAAAATAATGTCTCTAAACACTGATAGATAAAAAAATCAATGACTTACCTCAATATAAAACACAGTATCATTTAAATCTGATTTAAAAAGGTAGCTAAGTCTCAATTTACATATGTACTAAATGCAGTTTAATTATCATACTGCAAAACAATTGGTATGAACTCTTCAAAAACATCAATGGCATGACAAACAAACAAAGGCTGGGTAAGGCTGGGTGACAGGACAAATAAATGTAATATATGATCTTACTGGATCCTGAAATTTCTTGCATGTGATCAGTGTACAATATAGTTACTTAGGATATGTCTTTGTTCTTAGGAGATTCAAATTCAAGTATTTAGGGATTAAGTGCTATTATGAATGAAATCTGAAACTAACTCTCAAATGACTCAGCCAAAAAACGTGTTTGTGTAGAAATAAGCCAAATGTAGCAAAGTGTTAACTGGAAAATCTAAGGGAAAACTATGTGTTGGCTCATTATAATAGTTTGCAACATGTTTGAATTTTCAAAATTAAAAAATTTAAAGCAGCAACAATAAATCAAAATAGTTCAGTACATCATTATGTTTAGGTTCTTGATTGAGAGAAACTTGGGTTCAAATCTAGCTGTATTTATTCTGACTATTGCAAATTACTTATTTTCTTAGACCTTCCCACATCTGAAAAATAGGAGTAATGTTGCTGCCAATACCTTACAGAGTATTTTAATTAAAAAATATTCTGCTCAGAGGGAAAGGGGGGTGGAGAGATGGGCAAAATAGGTGAAGGGGAGGAGATACAGGCTTCCAGTTATGAAATGAATAGGTCATAGGAACAAAAGGTACGACAGAGGGAATATAATCAATGATATTGCAATAGCAACGTATGGTGACAGATGACAGCTACCCTTGTGGTGAGCACAGCATAATGAATAGAGATGCTGAATCACTAATGTTGTACACCTAAATCTAGAACACGGTGTATCAACTATACTTTAATGAAAAAAATTTTTTTAGAAATATTCTCAAGTTATATAAAATGCTTCAATTATTTTCATAGACGAAAAATGGTAATATCCATGTTTGCACACTCTCAGAATCATGATCATAAAAATCAGATCACAATGTAAAATAGGATAAAGAAAGTACAAGAGACTAAACATTCTATACTAAGCCTATCAGACATCCTGAAAATTCACTTTTTTGAAGAATTCTCTTGCTTATATGCTTACTGGTCACTGGCCTTATCACTTATCACCTCTTTGATTTTCCACATATAAATACAGGGATTTTAACTACAATGGTCTAAGAAATTAACCGCATGTCTGAAAACTAAGCTTTGGCCACCAGAACACTGAAAAATCACAACTATCTGAATTTTCTCCTAGTGGCGATTCTCTCTGTAAATAGGAATTTGTTAAATCTAATAGATAATGCTATTATTCAAAGACAATTTATTTAAATAATTGCTGCTGGGGTGCCTGGGTGGCTCAGTCGTTAAGCGTCTGCCTTCAGCTGAGGTCATGATCCCAGGGTCCTGGGATCGAGCCCCGTGTTGGGCTCCCTGCTCCGCGGGAAGCCGCTTCTCCTTCTCCCACTCCCCCTGCTTGTGTTCCTGCTCTCGCTCGCTCTCTGTCAAAATAAATAAAATCTTTAATAAATAAATAAATAAATAAATGGTGCTTCCGGTTATGGCCGATGTTATTTACAGTAGGGAAACATAACACCAAATATCCACAGATTAAAACCTACGTAATTAAATATAAGCCCTCATTCATTCTTGATTTTTTTTCTTCAGATTTTATTTATTTATTTGACAGAGAGAGACAGCGAGAGAGGGAACACAAGCAGGGGGAGTGGAAGAGGAAGAAGCAGGCTTCCCGCGGAGCAGGGAGCCCGATGCGGGTCTCGATCCCAGGACCCTGGGATCGTGACCTGAGCCGAAGACAGACGCTTAACCGACTGAGCCACCCGGGCGCCCCATCATTCTTGATTTTAACAGCCCTACTAAAGCAGGGAGGCTTAGCTTTGCAGACAAGAAAGAGGTATCCATGGCTGAACTTCAAAAGGTACTTAAGGTCAAGAAATTTTACGCAAAACTGTGCGTATGTATATTTCTCTACAGAAAAGTCCAACCTTTCTCTGAGATTTTCAGAAGTATCAATGAGTCAACAAAGATCAGTTCAAAACCTCTTATCAGAGCAATGGCTAAAGGCCTGCGGCCTCTTCCCATAGCTTAAACATCCTATATACAATGAGGTTCAATTATTTTTCTTAATGGCTCATTTTCAAATCTATAATAGAATCAATAAGGAAAAAACCATTAATTTTTATTTAGAAACCACTTACCAAGATTCTGTAAAGTCAGTGTGACAAATAACAAACACATTCACCACAATGTGGCTCTATCTAAAATCTTGCCTAAGTAAAGAAAAATGATAGTAGCTTCAAAGCTTATATTTATCAAAGTGTTAAATGTTTATCTCTAGGTGGGAGAGTTCACAGGTGATGATAAATTTTCACTAACATGTATTAACTCTGTAAAGAGGAAGAAAATACACTGTTGACCCTTAACCAATTCCCTGAACAGTCGAAAATCTACATGTAACTTCTGACAACCCCCAAAATTAACTACTGTTGACTGGAAGCCTTATTGATAACAGTTAATTAACACATATTTTCTATGTTATATGTATTATATGCTGTATTCTTATAATAAAGTAAGCTGGAGAAAATATGTTAAGAAAATCATAAGGAAGAGAAAATATATTCACAGTAATGCACTGAATTTATAAAAAAAATTCACGTGTAAGTGGACCTGTGCAGATCAAATCTGTGATGCTCAATGGTCAACTGTATAATCTGTAATAATTATCCTTCCTCTAAAATATTAGTATAGTATTTTCTTCTGAAAACACAAGTGCAAAATTTATTACTCACCTTAATAGCTTTGATGGCTGCCTTAGTAATTTGGGTCATTTTCGCTTTAGAAATGGGTGGTTTGTAGTCATTCAGGGAATACAACTGATAAAAAGAAGAACAAATTTTAAATACAGCAAAACTAATGGTCTCTAAGCAATTACATGAAATTACCAAACATTTCCATTTTTATATTCCCAATAAAATCAAAGTGCTGCTTTCTTTTAAAAATCAAGTTCAACATCATTAGCTGTCAGGGAAATGCAAATCAAAACCACAATGAGTTACATTTTCACACTTGTTTATAATCAAAAAGACAGATAATAACAAGTGTGAACAAGGATGTGGAGAAACTGGAACCCTTATACATTGCTAGTGGGAATATAAAATGGTACAGCAGCTTTGGAAAATGGCTTGGCAGTTCCTCAAAAAGTGAAACATAGTAATATGTAATATGACCCATAGTAATATGTAATATGACCCAGGTATATAGCCAAAAGAGATGAAAATATATATTCACATTAAAACCTGTACACAAATGGTCACTGCAACATTATTCATAAAAGTCATTTAAAAAGTGGAAAACACCCAAACGTCCATCAAATGATGAATGGATAAACAAAATGTTATATCCATTCAAAATATTAGCCATAAAAAAGAAATGAAGTACTGATACATGCTACAAAATGGATGAACCTTGAAAACATTATGCTCAGTTTAAAAAGCTGTATTAAAAAGACCAGATATTATAAGATGCCATTTATATGATATGTTCAGAAAAGGCAAATCTATTTGCGACTGCCTACAATTGGGGGAATTGGGAAGAAATAATGAATAACTACCAATGAGTACAACATTTCTTTTTGGGGGTGATAAAAATATTCTAAAATTGATTGTGGTAATGTTGTACAACCATACTAAATGCCACTGAATTATACACGTCAAATTGGTTAATTTTATGGTATATGAACTGTATCTCAAAACTTTTTAGAAATCAAGGGATTTAAGGTTTAGCAGTAATCTCCACCAAAAAATAATTTTGTTTTGAAATCTCTCATATAAGCAAAGGATAGTAAAACTGCTTAAAGAGAAAGTTAAAGGGGGGAGAATCAAGCAATGAACAAGTAACTAAGGTTAAATGAATATTGATTAAAAGTTGCATTGTACTCAGTGATGACAAGATTTTAACTATAATGCTGTAAGATACTAACTTCAAAATCTGGAAACGAAGCTTTGGCCATTTTACAACATTGCAAAAACAACCAAACAGACTTTAAAAGTAACTAAAATAGAATGTGTTGGTTAGTCAACTAGCAATTTAGGGAGTCCTCTACAGCTTTTGCTCCAGCACCCCTTATAACCTATCAATGAATTCTACTGATTTCTACCCAGTTTTCCCATTTTTCTCCTCTTCTTTCTCCAACGACCACCAAAACCACAGCCCCAAACACTCTCATCTCTTACCCAGAGGACACCGCTAAATGGATGTGCATGTCTATCTTTTCAAAAACTAATGTCTATCTTTTCAAAAACTAATCTGATCAGGTGACTAAATACCCCCTTAAAAAGGTCAATGACTTCCCATGCTTTAGATAAACACATAGTCGGAACTCCTGTCCACCTTTCCAGTCTCATCTCACTCCATGCTCCCCTCCTGAGCCCTTTGCTCCAGGCACAATGATCCTGTTTCAGTTTCCTGCCACACAGTGTTGAAAATGAGCTTGTTCCCCCTATTTCGAATACTCTTCACCAGGGTCTCCTCGCTAGTTAATGTGTACTCAGTTTGAGCAACACCTAATGAGGAAAGCCTTCCCTACCTTTCCAGCCAGATCAATACCTCCTCTTTTATACTCTCACTGTAATGTCATTCACCTCTGAAGCACTCATCATAGTACTTTGACATTTACTTGTCTGATCATTTAATACTTGATTTTTTAAAAGGACTGTCACAAAGAGTGACAGTAACACCAAAGGTCAAAGGCTGTAAGTTCCTTTAATACCATTAAGATGTTAATGCTATAAGAGCTGTTCAAGCTGAAATCATTTGTGGGAGAAGTACAGATGTCCTTCCCTTTAAGTTCCCAGAGAAGTGCCCACCTGTTCATACTGCCAACCATTAGGTCAAGATCCCATCAGACCATTTAAGAAGCTACCTCTGCTAAACTAACAGGAAATTTTAATATACTTGTGGCTTCAATTCCTACCTGTATGCCAGTCTACTCACCAGGTACAAAATAACATCAACACATTTTATAGTGCTTACAACAAGCTGTACGTATAAAGTAAAGGTCAGCTTCCCAGAATTTCTCAGCAGGCCCTGGCTACTGCCCATCTGAGATCCACCCCTGCCCTCTCCTACAAAAGAATAAGCTCTAAGGATAGACACCATGTCTTTTTTGTTTAGATTTTTTCCTTTTCTCCAAACTGTATCTTCAGTGTCTGGGAGAAAATAGATATTTGTTAAGAATAAATTAAAATGAACAAATGTAAGACACAGCATTGCACAAGCTTTGCACAGAAAAACATGGATATGAATTCCAACTATGTCACCTTATCACAAGCTGCTAAACCTCTGAAGCTTAGGTTTCTCATTCACAAAATAAAAACTCATTTCACAGAAACATCACATAAAAATAAAGCTTTTAGAACATACTAAAGTTGCTCAACAGTTGCTCAATAATTTTAATTATTAAAATTAAAATCCTACTCTGTAGGCATTCTCCATTTAAATGAATAATATTAAAGGATCCATCAAACACTTGCAAGTCCATTCTTTAGTAATTTATATTATTAGGGCAATGAAGATGCATCAGCTTTTCCCCCACAGTTGACTACATACACTTTCATTTTGTGTAGTAAAGCCCTGAAGTTTCGATCAAGCATTAGTTCATACTCTAGCTGATCACAGCTTTGTTTGCTGTGTGTGTGTGTGTGTGTGTGTGTGTGATGGAGGGTAGGGGATGAGGTAGGGGAAATATAATTTAGATTTATAAAACATTTTCAACAGTCTGAAAAGTCAGCTTTCACCTGAGATCCCCTGCCTTTTTAAATGCACATACTGCAGAAATTTAAGGTAGTACTCAGAGAAATACCGGGAAATTAAGTACTTTTCCAAGGCTCACTTAATACATAGGCTTCCAACAAATCTCATTTCTTTATTAAATCTGATTATCAGAAAATAGGCACAGATAACTCCTCAATGAATGCCTTAACTAAAATTTAGTATTAAGTCTTTAGCTTACGAAGACTGATGAAAGACTTGCTCTAGAATGTTGTGTTTTACCCATCTGTTAAAGAAATAATTATCTTTAACCAAAAAAAATCCCTTATGTAAGAATTCCCAAAGTATATTCTCCTTGAATGCAGAAACAGGAGAATGATTCAGCTAGTTTCCATGTGCTTACTTTTTTAATCAAAAAAAGATGGTTTAACAGGTTTCTCCCATCTTGTGCCTCGGCTTCTAAGTGAGCTTGCTCAAGTTTGTCTGAACATTAACTCTCAAATGTCTACTGACATCTACTTCTCTGCTATATTTAGCCATTAGTTTTATTGTATCCAAATATAAAATATATTTTCACCAGTGTCTAATTTTGATAAGCTGTTTCAAAGTTCTTTTTGAAGTAGGTGGAGTATAAGTTTATACATTTAATGAACTAATGTGAACTGAGCACATGACTGCAGAGACAGCCTGTCATCCTCCACTTTTCCTTCTATTTTCTTTCCCTCTTTCTTTCTATTGGGGGGGGGGAGAGGGAGAATCCCAAGCAGGCCCCACACCCCTCAAAACCCTGAAATCATGACCCCAGCCAAAATCAGAGTCAGACTTAACCTAGGCGCCCCTTTTCTTTTTTAGAAAAATAGTGCTAAATATGCTGCCAGACCATTCAAAGCTTTTAAAAAACTTCTATAAATAATCGAATTTATATCAAGAGAATATTTAATCTTTAGATCTACAGGATATGACAGAATGCCTGATACAGAGTAATAAACCTGTCTTACCCAGCTGATAACTTAATTCTGCTGTAACATTGCCATTAAGAAGTGCCAAGCTTCATTCCAATCCTCATTCTACTTAGATATATCAACTCCTCACCAAAAATTAGGAATGTAATTCTCCCTATATTCTCAAAATTTGATCTGGTTCTACACTGGAAAATGTTGCAGAAGAATGAAAGTTTATTCTGGGACCTTTTTTCCATTTCCCTGATGATTCCCATCTCTATGCTTGGGTCAGAAGATCAGGACTGCATGCACTCTAAGTTTGGACTATCTAGATACCCAGTTTTCTCATGTATAGGCTTTTTTTTAAAGATTATTTATTTGAGAGAGCAGGTGAGCGAGTGCAGGGAGGGGCAGAGGGAGAGAGAATCTCAAGCAGACTCCCCGCTGAGTTGACAGGGGCCTTGATCCCATGACCCTGAGATCATGACCAGAGCCAAAATCAAGAGTTGGTGCTTACCCGACTGAGCCACCCTGGCACCCTTCATTTATAGGTTTTAATCCCACCAATCTATTTCTTGGGCCTGGCTCCCTCCTTCCTTGTTTTCTAAAATCTAAATGGCTGCTGATTCCCATTAGTTTGTTCCATCAAATTATTCCCTCAGTTAAGACTATTTTAACTTTTCTAGGTCTACTGATAACCTGCTGTGTCTGAACTCTGCTTCCCAAATCTAAGCTTCTTCCCCTCAAATGCTTTGTTCTAATGTTATCTAATCTCATGTGACAACCCTTGATTTATACAAACTCTCCATGTCCCTCTGACCGCAGGGACTGAAATGAAGTCCCAGTCTTGACCTGCCCCTTCCTATGGCTATAACTCAAGACTTACCAATTTAAAACAAAGGCACTGAACAACAGCCTGGATTTCAGTCTAACTCCTTTATGTTTCAACTCCTCTCAGGAACTTGCAGGCACCACATCAAATGTATTCGTTTTAGATCTGAAAACAACTTCTAATCAAATCATTTTCTAGTGACTTTAATCAAGGTTTGAGAAATTTTTTTTTTAACCTACACTGAGATATCTTAGTTGCTGCTGGCTACTCCAACAAAAAACTTATTTTGAATAAAGATTTTCAGAGTTGTCACTTGTCAGCTATTGACTGG